GCAGAAATATGCAATACTGGGGCCACTAACCCTTTGTGGGAATGTTCTGGGGTGCAGGAGAGGATATATTGACTAATTATATCCTGATCCAACTTGTGCTAACAAGTTCCCAAAATATCAGCAGAGTTTACATACATTCCCCTTTAGTACGCAACGGTAACGCTTGCACAGGTTCGCTAGAACCTCTATAATAATTACCTTGGTAATTTCCCCTTTAGTTCCCTCTTAAAATACAAGACACGACACAGTCTTCATAAAAGTATAAAAGAGTTTACTCACGTTCTGTTCACAATGTGATCCCAGAAGGCACAGCTTAAAAAGGTTACATAGATTTAGAATCTATCTCATAGCAAGATAGGCCTTATCTCCTCTCTTGGCTGGGAGCCAAGAGGGCATCCTTAGGTGTTTCCTCGTCGAAGGAAAATGGCAGAGAGAGAGAGATGGCTGCCTGCCCTGTGCTTTTTGTCATCACCTGCACAGGTGAGGCCACACCCACCTCTGGTCACATGTGGAGGAAGTCCGTCCCCAGGAAGTTTACCTGCTTGCTGGACAGACATCCCCCCCATGTTCTAAACATGTACACTCTAGGAATGTTGTCATTGACTGCTCCTGTGTTTACATCCCACAAGAACAGGGTGGTGGGCTGGGTGGATCCTTGTTCTGGTCCAGTAGGGTTCTGCTTATGTTCTTATGGAGGAGTTTCAAAGTGACAGTATAGATAGTGACTCTTCAGTACAAGTGCTGCTAATTTAGACAGTGAGTGCAGGATTATTTATTGTTTTCAGAATTCTATCACTTCGTATTGTTTTTTTCAGAGTTCCTTGCCACTGAAAAAAGTATTTTTTTTGTCATGGAACATGTGACATCAACTATCATGATGTTTTAGGGTTGCCATATTTTGAAGAGCAAAAAAAGAGGACACATTTGCCAACTTCTACTTTTAACTACAGAGCTCTTACAGCTATAGAAGCTGTGATAGATATATTGTTAGTAGCAATGTTCTTAACTTTCAAAATAATAATAATAATAATAATAATAATAATAATACATATTTCTCTCTCACTTGCCACATACACCTTTGTGAACATAAGTGTGCACAGAACAATTTATTAAACTGTTTAACAAGTATATTCCATTTATGAAAAACAGTGAGAAATGGGAGCGTGATGCATGAGGCTTTAAAAATTGTATTTATCTTTTGTAAAAAATCTTGGATTAGTGTAAACAAAAAACCAAACAAAAAAACCCAGGACATTTTGCCAAATTTTAAAAATCTGCCTGGACAGAAATTTTAATCCTGAAAAAGAGGACCTGTCCAGGAAAAAGCTCATGTTGCAACCAGACCTGAAAAAGAGGACAACCCTACGATGTTTGCACTATTAAGTCATACTCAGATGAGGCCTATTGAAATCAAGGTACTTAGGTCTATTGCGTTCAGGGGGTCTTCTCCTAGAATGGCTGGCTTCCCTTTTATCCCTCATAGTGTATTGAATAGCAAAGAGCATCACTGACACATAATGTTATGTTTTTGCTGGTTTATGTAATGGTTAAGGAAACAAGTCCTTGCTAAATGCTGGATTACTGAATTTGGTTATGTTTGCCTTTTTTATTTCAACTCAGATGATGTTTGCATACAGCTCCTAACAGTCTTTAAACAGATTTCTAAAGTGGGAGATTCTAAAAGTATATCTAGTTTTGGAAAAACTTACATTATTTCTAAACATCTAGGAAACTGACACGTTTCCTTGTAAACTTGAAAAGATAAATCCCTGCTGGTTTCTTTATCTTTGAGAGGTGATTTTTTTACAAGCATCCTGATTCTCCTCTTGCAGCAGTACCCTTGCCTTTTTCTGGTAGCATCCAGTCCTTGGGGTGGGGTACAGCTGGGGATGAAAAGTTAGAAGTGGAAAATTCCATGAGGCTTTAGAACAGTTTTAGCGCTGAAGGAAATAGTCTATGCAATTATCAGCTGGTTTCTAAAGAGGAACAATTAGGCAAGCTGGGAATGTTGCACAACTGCTGCGGCTTGTACTAAAAAAAAGTACAAATTGGAACATGCTCCAGGTTCAGGCCTTCTTTGTAGTGCATAAGTTCCCTGGGTCTTTGCAATTCTGTACAGTGGTGCCTCGCAAGACGAAAAGAATCCGTTCCGCGATTCTTTTCTTCTAGCGGTTTTTTCGTCTTGCGAAGCAACCCCATTGGCGGCTAAGCGGATTAGCGCTATTAGCGATTTAGCGCTATTAGCGGCTTAGCGGCTAAGCTGTTAAAAGGCTATTAACAGCTTAGCCGCTTTGAAAAAGGGGGGGAAAGCGGGGGGGGGGGAATTGGCGAGAAGCCATAGGGAACTTCGTCTTGCGAAGCGCCTCCGCGACAGAAAACCCTTTCGTCTAGCGGGTTTTCCGTTTTGCGAGGCATTTGTCTTGCGGGGCACCACTGTATTTGCAAAGGGCTGAGTAAAGTTCCTGGGAAAGATAACTCCTGGGTTGCAAAATGTTACTGCCTAGCATCTATTAGCATAGCCAGTGTGATGGGATAGTGCTTAGGGCAGGGGTCAGCAAACTTTTTCAGCAGGGGGCCAGTCCACTGTCCCTCAGACCTTGTGGGGGGCCGGACTATATTTTTTTGGGGGGGAGAGATGCAAGAGCACCACGAGCCCCAGTAGCTGCTTACCTGTGTCTTGCGGCTGGATCCAAAGGCAATTGGGCCTAATCCGACCCGTGAACCTTAGTTTGCCTACCCATGGCTTAGAATGTTAACCTGAGGCTAGGAGGACCAGGGTTCAAATCCCCATTCTTTGAAGGAAGGGCCAGTTAGAAATGTAACACGATGTAGCCTTCAACTGAGCTTTTTTAAGGGGAGGAAGCATTTTCAACCATTTGCATTATTTTTCCTTCATAGCATTTCCTATCCTCTCTCCTCCAGTAGGAAGAATCTATAGTCTAACGACAAAGCATGTGAACTGCATGGCTCAAGGACTCTAGTTCAACCCTGACATTTAAGATTAATAATACTAAAGGCTGCAATTATAAGTATATTTATTAGAGATTAAATACCAGTTTATTTAGAAGTAGTTTAGCAAGGGTTGGACATACTGCCATTAACAAATGACCTACAGTCATACCTCGGGTTAAATTTGCTTCAAGTTGAGCGCGTTCGGGTTGCGCTCTGCGGCAACCCGGAAGAAACGGAGCGCGTTACTTCCGGGTTTCGCCGCTTGCGAAAAGCAACGCACGTGCACGCAGGCACGCCGTCGCTAGATACGTTTACCTCTAGATGCGAACGGGGCTCCGGAACAGATCCCGTTCGTATCTAGAGGTACCACTGTATCAGGTCCTTGTTGTCACCAGCAATGCTCTTATTAGAAACCAAAAATAAATTCATAGCCAGCTGTGGGTTGATTGGTTATTTTGTGAATTTCATTGAAGATAACACTAATCTATTTTAACATTAATCTTAATAAAATCTTATTTTTTATTTAAACTAGAAAAACAGTGAACATGAGTTACCTAGCTAAATCTTACCTTTACATATATATCTTTTTCATTTTCTTCAAGGAGTTTAATGTGGCATTCATGGTTCTTAGCATACACACACTCCCCATTTTATCCTCATGACAACCGCGTGAGGCAAGTTAGGCTGAAAGCAGAAATTGGCCAAGTCACTCAGAGTTGGGACTGGGACCCTGGTCTTGTAGGTACCAATCCCATTCTCTAATCACTACACCATGCTGGCTCTCTTCTCGTTGGTTTTGCTGCAAATTACATAAATTGCTTTGACTGGGTTTTGGTTTTTGAACCTCACAAAGACATGATGGGTGATTCTTCCATCTTATGTATGCATGTACCTTGTGGTTATCTATTGTTCACAGACAGAATTTTAATAAATCCCTCCTTTTGTAGACAATGATCACATGCCCCCAGTTAATGGTAGATTATTTATTGCTGCTGTGACAATCTGAAACCTTTCTTTTCATTATTATAACTTTCCTGAGTTGTTGCTAAGGTTCCTCACAGTCCTTTCTAAAATACACAAATCTTTTGCTGATTTTCCTTCAGCAGGGTAGTGTCACAGCTGCAATTGGTGACTGTAATTAAAAAGACTATCTTTGAGGGATTCAGAAATCTGTATGACTAATATCAGATAATGAAATTAGCAGTTCATGTTAATAAATGGGATTAGTAATTTACGCAGATTCTTTCCTCAATTACAAGACAGTTTTCTTGCTGTTGTGGTCAGAGAGAACTTTCCATCACTTTTCATTACCATTTCATTCTCCATCCCTTCAAGCTGTGTGAAATGTTACACAAAGATTAGGAGATCACACACTCGACTTAGTTTAAAGAATTTGGGATTTATTTGGTGCTGAATGTCAGGGTGGACTTATCAGTATTATGGCTGGGCGATGTTGAGTTTTCAACATCACGGTGTATCACAGCCAAACATCGCGGTAAAAAACTGCATTGGCCCCAGCCAACAAGGTGCTGGGTGAAACTGCCGTAGCTCTCATCATTGGGAGCTGAGGCGCTTTCCCCTTCACACCTTGTGGGCTGTGGCCCATACAGCTGGCCCAGCCTGCTGCTCAGCTGGGGGAGCCCCGAGTCCTCCACCGCTTGCACTCAACCGGCAGAGGACTTGGGGCTCCTTGGCCAGGCTTTGCTGGGGGCAGGGGAGCCAGCTATGAGCCCCCCCCCCCGCTCCACTCACACATGGCTGGCAGGGAACCCGGGGCTCCTTGGCCAGGCACTGGAGGCAGAGGGGCTCAAGAGCTGTGACAGTTTCACCAGCGATATACCACTGAGTGAAGCTGTCATTGCAGTCTCTCCCCCCCCCCATACTGGTCCTGGGTGATATATTGATAATATCGCCCAGTGCTAGTCAGTATATCCCCCTTCTTTATTATAATTCCCTTGATATGAATTAAAATCCTCAGTCTTGGAGAGAGAAAAGGCAGAAACCTCACTTACTATTTTCTTTTTGTGCCCTCCTCCCACTCCCTTCAGAATCATAGAGCTGACCCTGAGGAACTCTTCACAAAACTGGAACGTATTGGAAAAGGCTCATTTGGAGAAGTCTTCAAAGGAATTGATAATCGGACACAACAAGTGGTTGCTATAAAAATCATAGACCTGGAGGAGGCAGAAGATGAAATAGAAGACATCCAGCAAGAGATAACTGTGCTAAGCCAGTGTGACAGCCCGTACGTCACAAAGTACTATGGCTCCTATCTAAAGGTAATTCTTATGGTTGCTCCATGTCTACTGGAAAAATGCAATTCTTTTCTTTGAAAACAGCAAGATTAATGTTGTGAGATGCAGAACCATGGAATGCTATCAGATTTTTTTAAAAAAAAAAATAGGTACCACATTTTGTGGGTGAAGGATAGAGTTTGAGTTCGGTCTGTTCGTATTGTGGTTCTGAAGTTTGCATTCCAAGGTCTTGGTGTGGTCAAAAATTGTAAAGACATTTCAACTCACACCTTCCAGTTGTTTGTCTGGCCAGTTGTCTTCTTTAGTTGTGTTTTTATTGATTTTAAAATACATTTAAAGCTTGGATTAAAAACCCAAAACAAACTAGCAATACTCTCTATTGATGGACTTTGAAACCAAATCATTTCACTCCCCTTGTTGGCATCTATCTGTCTCTGGAGACAATGGAGGAATGCACCTTCGGGGATAAAGTCAAAGAGTTGGAGATTTACAGCAGTTTTATTGCAGGTGGGGCAGAGGAAGAAGTCTGGTTTTGCTGCTACAGGTGCACCATCTCTTTTCTTCTCTCTGTGCCCCTCCCAGTGGCACTCCTCTGTACCCTCAGTAATCCACAAGTTTTCAAAAATTCCCATTGTTTGCCAAGGTGTTGCTCTCCATGAAGATGCTGTGCATGGAGCAACAGATATGGGAAGGGATAGAGAGGACTGTGAGAAGATGAAGAGTTTCCCAAAGGAGTGATGTGGAATTAGAAAATATTAAGACAAAGAAGTGGGGTGGAAAGCTACCTGTCTGGTGTCTTTCTTTTTTAAAAAAAGTTTTTTAATGCTTTGTTCTCTCCTATCAAATCCATTCCCTCTTCCCCTCAGTTATTTTCATACATACTTGTTTGAGCCTGAGATGTTTATCTTTCTGCGTAACACAGTTACCACTCTCTCAACCCCTTTCAACACATACACAGATTTCTCTCTCTTTCTCTCTCTCTCTCTCTCTCTCTTCTCACACACACACACACACACACACACACACACACACCGCTTCTCCTTTTACAGCAGAAGCAAGCATCCTAAATCATTTTATTTCTTTTATGTAAGGAACAAACTGTATTTTAATTCTTTACCCTATTGCTGTGTGACTTCAGGAGTCTGCTCCTTTTTATTTCATTTATTCTCTAAAATACCTACATCTCACTTTAAAAAAGAATGCTAAGAAAGATAAAGTTGAGGTAAAAGAATATTAAAATAAATTGGTATACATTAAGCTAGTAAGACACAGCACCACTGCTAGAACAGCACATTCAGAATCACACTCAGTAGTAATCCACTAGGCCCTCCCTAAAGGTTTTACAGAAGAACCGCATTCTCCCTGCTTGGCAGAAAGCTGGGACTTTTCTGTGGAGATGTCTGGTGATTGTTCTAGTGCCTAAGCTAGAAGAGAAGAAGCCATTTCATCCTCAAGGGAGAATTGGATCATGATGTCCTCATTAACACACTGCACTTGGGTGTGCGTGCCTGTGGGAAGAGGGTAATCTGTTCTGCCTTCCTGGTCCTGCCCCCAGTTAGGATCAGACATTTCAACTAATGCAACAAATTGCATTTCCTCAATGGCCGTATTTTTAAAATAGCAAGCCATGTTTCCATACTAAAAAAAATAAAATGTAAAACTGTTATGAAAAATTAGTCAGTGACTTTAGGGAGCTTATGACTGGTATTCTGTGTGGTTTCACAAGTACTTATAACATGCAGAAAAGTCAAACATACGATATTGAACAGAAACATCACAGCACAATCTTACCACAAATTGCCAAGGTTCTACAGACCAGGACACTTTGGCAGGAATTACAATGGAAATATTTTTTTAACCCTAATGTCAGATGACCCAACTTCAAAAGAAATAATTGGGACCACGTTCTTAAATGTGTTTCTGATTCCTTTAGATCTTTGCAGCCTGTCTTGAAGTCCAGTGAGGTTGCAAGCAAAGATACCTGCTGAAAGTGGCAAGTCTTGCTTTGGGCAGAGATCAACTGCACTTTAGAGTTCCCAGTTGGAAACTGTGTAGCACAGCAGATCTCAGCAGGGTTTGCTGTAAGCACCAGCCACCTAATTGGTGCTTATAGCAAGCCCCTTCAAGGGCAGATCTTTCACACTGCCAACCTCAATTCAAGTTGGTGATTTAAAGGAGGAATTGAGCACATTTAGTGTGTGCTCATTTTTCAATTTAGCCATGACTTGGAATGTTTCTGCACCTGACATTAGGCATTAGGTGTGAGGAAAGTGGCCATGGTTTGTGCAAAACTGCCTGGCGGGCTAAACTCTCAGACTTGATGGACCTAATTAGGTCCCTGGGCTGGAGATTCCATGTCCCTGCTCTAACACGTCATAATTTTAACCAAAAAATCGTTCAGAATTCAATAATTAGGCGCTGTCCTCTGCTCTGTATACAGGCTATACTTTTTTGTCCTGTAGTAAATTCCAAGGAGTGTTCTTGGATGCCTAGGTGAAAACTATACACATTCAGCTACAGTTTATAGTAGAGATTTCAATGAGGCATTCTTGGAAAAACAGCACTTATTTTGGCTCTGCAAGCAGATTGCACTCAAGCCATCCAAAGGTATCTGTGTGGCCCACACAGTGTTAGCCTGAGAATGAGTTCTCATTGCAGGTTTTTCTTCCTAGCACAGTTGGGCTTTGTGAAAAGTGCTAAAAGTACCAAATGCCTTCCCTCTTAATTCTGACCATTGGAACAAGCCTTCATAGTATAAATACAGTCTCTAATCCTTCATGATTCTCAACAAACTGTGCTCTATTCAGTGCTGGACATGGAGTATGGCTGCCCTGCCCCTTTATTTGCTTGTTCAATTACACCCGTATTTCGTGTGCATTCAGAAAATTGAACTGGGCTAAAATTCAGCCTTAGATGGAAATAAATTGCTGACAAATCTTTTGTCTGATGTTCTTGTGGAGAGGCTATTGCCTCTTATCAGTTAATTTCCTTCATTTGAAGCCCTTAACTATGCTGATAGCTCTGAGTATCTGTAACTAATAATTGAAATGTTTGATTAAGACCAGTTATATTTGTTCTAAAATCTATATTCTGCCTGTGTATGAAGGAGATGATCAAATGTTGATTTAGTAGCATGTATTATCATTGTTTTTTATTTTGCTAATAGCTGCCCCTTTTTTTGTAAATATCACATGGTTATGCTGGTAATACTGTTTATGTAATTCATGTCATGAGCAGAATTAATATGACAATTTGTTTATGGTCTTTATTATTAAAAATAGACCTCAAATAATACTTTAAAAATCAGACCAGGATTATTCGTTTTCTCTCCCTCCCTCTCTCTCTCTTCTTTCTCCACGTGCACATAGGCACACATACATATAAAAAGTGTTTTTTGAGGGTTGTGTGTATATATATTTTGCTCTTGAAATGCCAGTTAATAAAATAGTCTCAACAATTCCAATTGTAAACCCACTTATTAGAAGGTAAATCCAAGTGAGCTCAGTGGAACTTGTTAATGACTATACTTTATAAGTGGAATGCAGTTCACCTGTTTTCCATGTAGCATTTTCCAGATTCATTACAACAGCCAAATATATAATATTGATGCCAGAGAACGAAACAGTTCAAAATAAGTGGAGGAAGTCTTCTGTTAAAAAGAAGCAGCATACTTTCACATTATAGCATTTTCACCTGGAAATGGTTAACTGACAGTCTCATAGCTGTATAAATAGCCCATTTGGTTCAGATGCAAATATCTTGAGTGGTAAAACTTTGTCATTGGAGCAGTATTTGAAGAGATTAAAATACCTTTCTTCAGGATTAGTTAGTATTCACAGTTCATCATGCAAGCTTTTCAGATGCACTTTTTTCTCTCAGGATGGATGATCAGGTGGTGCAAAGGGAAAATGGAATAGTGGCTCTAACTCTGTTTTTATTGATAGATGTTCCACTCTTATGCTAAGATTATCATTGTACAGTCATACCTTGACTCCCAAACGCCGCAAACCCGGAAGTGATTGTTCTGGTTTGTGAACGTTCTTTTGGAACTCAAACATCCAACGGGGCTTCCGCAGCTTCTGATTGGCTGCAGCCAACCAGAAGCTTCAATTTGGTTTCTGAACGTTTTGGAAGTTGAACAGACTTCCAGAACGGATTCCGTTCGACTTCCAAGGTATGGCTGTATAGTATAACCATAAAACCAAATGAAATAAAGGAGACCCACAACTTACATGGGGGTTTCAGGGATAGTGCATAAAGCCAAAATCATATTTAGTCAAAACACATTGGGTGCAATGCCTGGTATGGCCACTGAAGTTTTTTCGCCCAGATGCCCACCCTCTTTCTGCTCCCCCTTTTTACATTTTTAAAAGCTGAACGTGCACAAGTTAAATGTGCGTATATTTGCGGTCTGTTGTGTTATAAAAGTAGAAAAATAACTAACGTCAATTTGTAAAAGCAATTACAGATAAAACATAATAAAGCCAACAATTAAAAGACAAAACAAAAATTAGGTGTGTGGTGTTTTTGTTTGTTTGTTTGTTTGTTTTTGTCCTACCCTAAATCGTAAACCAGCACCTTCAACAAAACCCAGAAGCAAATAGGAAGCCAGTTGACCTGACAGAATAGTGAGCACGAAACAAAAATCTGGCTACCATATTTTGGATCACATAGAGTGCATTACAATAATCCATAATGAAAGTAAACAAAACTTAGATGACTGGGGCATGTTCCACCTTCTGTGGCAAAGGCTACAGTAGGTCTATCAGCCAAATGATGACACCACTCTGATCATTGGAGGAATGCAGTGGGATCAAGAATAACATTCAGAATTTCCAAAGAGGGCCCCTCTGTGCTTCTTTGCCTTATGATATGATCTCAAGTCAGAGAGAGCATTGCTTCAACAAAGTTCTAGCCTAATTAAACCAGCAACAGCTTCATCCCTTGTCACCGCTGGGCATTGCATTTCTAAAATAATCTGCAAACAAGGGCTTACTGCCATGTCCTTACTCAAACATAGATACTGTTTAAAACAAAAAACTTTATTTTAACAACAGTTATTGGTTCAGTAATCTTAACACTATTTTCACAAAGGTCCTGCATTAGCAAAATATGAAGAGTCATTGAATCAGAATATTCTACTATCTGCATATAGCACCTTCCTTTAGGTACTGTGTGGACTGCCGCGCTGTGGTCTTTATAACTGATCCTTCTACCCAACAGTTCATTGAAATGATGAAGTGAGCTGATCCACTAATCTCTTTTGAAAAGCCTAACACTTTATCTGCATTCATTTTTAGGGCACAAAGTTATGGATAATCATGGAATACCTAGGTGGGGGATCAGCACTGGATCTGGTAAGTGTCTTCTAATGGTTTGTGCCTTGTTCATTTTCTAGTTAGCTTCTGCATTCTTACTTATTACTAAAATGTAAAAATGCTCAAAAGTAGCTCATTTCAAAGCAACAAAAATGCAACTCAGTACATCATTACAATAACAATCAAATATGGGTAAAGCAATTCAAAGTACAGTGGTACCTCGGGTTAAGTACTTAATTCGTTTCAGAGGTCCGTTCTTAACCTGAAACTGTTCTTAACCTGAAGCACCACTTTAGCTAATGGGGCCTCCTGCTGCCGCCACGCCACTGGAGCACGATTTCTGTTCTCATCCTGAAGCAAAGTTCTTAACCCGAGATACTATTTCTGGGTTAGCGGAGTCTGTAACCTGAAGCGTATGTAACCCGAGGTACCACTGTATAACAGCAATCCAGTGATCTAGTAATAACATTCTTAATATTCAGAGTGTGACTTCTTTCTTTTTATAATTTATGAGTTGATAGTTTTTGAAGTTTTTTCAGTGAAAATACTTCCTTTTTCAAGAAGTTTAAATATCCATGTCAAGGAATAGGTTTCAAGTGTAATTTATGACAGAAGTCATCATTAAATTTAGTTCACAGTTCTGCAATCTCAACACTGAAGCCAGATCATCTCCTTAATATGCTAATGTTCAGAGCATTATGTAATTTTTCTGTAGATCATTCCCTCCTCCAAGAAGGGGACATGTCACTTTGTAACTGCTTTGTGTAAATTGCCAGTTGCACTTATAGTAGTCGTCATTGTAGTAGTAGTAGTAGTAGTAGTAGTAGTAGTAGTAGTAATAGGACTCTTGTCAGTTAGGCAATGGTTCCTTCTACTTGCAGTTGGTGTACTGAAGCTCAGAGGATTTTGACTGAAGCTACCAAATGACTCAGTGTCTGGGCATGGCCTGGGATTCCCTGATCCAACTCAAACATTTTTTTTCTGTGGAGAGAAGCTGGCTGTCTTGTGGCACAATGCTCCTCTTGGTGCAATGACTACAGTGTTCCTTTATGTCTAGTTGTAGATGAGTTCAGGTTGTCTACCTTGTGTCTTAAAAAACAATATATTACCAAAAAGTGTACCACACCTTCTACTTTTCAGTATGAGGAAGATTTGTTGCTGTCAAAACACAAGTTTTATTAATAAACTGAAAGGTGAGATGTTTTACCAGTTTTGAATACACAGAAATGTTTTTCTTGGAAGCAGATTCCAGGAGTGTGCCATGGAAGCAAAAGCATGGTTAATATTCAATGTTGAAACTGACCTGGTTTTTCCATTTTTGGCAGTTTAAATTTAAGCCATGAAAGGGCCCCTTACTTATGACAAACACAGTGTTCACGACGGATGCAGCCTAGGAGGGACTAAAAAAGCAAAGCGCTTTGGGTGGTGATGTGTGGTTTTCCCCTATCCCCCAGTCCAGCTCCACCACAGCCCTATATAAGAGACCCACCCTTTTCCTGTAAGATAATGCTGCTCAGTGTTTATGCTTATGAGATCCTGAAATATTATTAACATTGAGCAACATGACATTTTTGCAAGCTCTGTACAAACTGTGCCTTAATCCCACTAGAATTTCAACAGCATAGAATTACAAATGGTCTCTGCACATAAGTAGCACTCAGTTCAACCCTAACAGCCACCTTCTGATTTTCTCAGCTGGAATTTGGAAAGGTAAGAGAAGCCTTGCTGTTCGCTGAGTTTTGGGGCAGTTGTCCACTAGGGACAATGGAACAGATTTTTGAGGGCTATGGTTCATATACACACAAATCCATGTATGTTGATTGCTATAGCTCTAAACACTGACTAAAGCATGACAAGGCAAATGGCCCACAATTCAGATCACTTCACCTCAAACAGCACATTACAACCTGATGAAGGGCAGAATGGAAATGGAAACAAACAGTAAACAGAATTTGACTCGTGTTCGGCTGCAGATCCTCAAGTGATGTGTTAGAGAGTGATAATAGTGCAAATCAGCCCTAGTTTGTGGCTCACAGTCTTATGAACCTCTTACCTAAATCCTCACAGCTGTTGTACTGTACAGTATATTACTGCCAATGGAGGCAGTTGCCCATACATAGTGTAGTTTAATAGTGAGCCCTGGTCTCCTTTGCAGGAAGGTGTTGGGGTATAAATCTAATAAATTAAATTATTACTATTCTGAGGTGGGATGTATTTATTGGGAACGTAATACCATGGTTCTGTGTTCTTGCCATCATCTCTAAAAGGCTATATTAGTCAAAGCTTCTCAGGAAAGTAAAACCTTCCTTAAGTTTGCTTGACAATGTTTTCAAGTTACTTGTGTTACTCTTCCAAGTTTATTAATTTAGACAGTGTCTGTTGTGGAACATTTGTGTTTGAACCTTTTCCTGCAAATCTTTTAAAAAAGAAAAATGACATTTCAAATAACTGTTAACAAACAGTGGATGCCAGGGTTTATGCTTTATTTGAATTATGCTTTGTTTCCTTCCCAAAGCTCCGTGCTGGCCCATTCGATGAGTTCCAGATTGCTACAATGCTCAAGGAAATACTGAAAGGGCTTGACTATCTACATTCAGAGAAGAAAATTCACAGAGATATAAAGGGTGTGTATAAATTTAAATAAATGCAGAGCCCATATCCCTTCAAGCAATAGTTCTTTCTGCTTTTTAATTAGTTTTTTCTGCTTTCTTCTCCTTTCAAGCTGCCAACGTGTTATTGTCAGAGCAAGGAGATGTGAAGCTTGCGGATTTTGGAGTTGCAGGGCAACTGACTGATACACAGATTAAAAGGAACACCTTTGTAGGCACGCCATTTTGGATGGCACCAGAAGTGATTCAACAATCAGCCTATGATTCAAAAGTGAGTTCTTTGAAATTGGTTTGTGCTTAGGAGTGATGTGTTCATTTTGTGCAAGACATTTGGAGATTTTCAGAACCGCAGTCTTGCCACAGAATGTATGGTATGCCTCCAAATGCGTAATTCTTATAGCTATAGGACAGCTTGAGAATGTGTATTAAAGATCAAAGAGCAAGTTTCTAGCACTAGTGATTATAGCCCAGAACTGTGTGGAGTGTACAAACCAGGAGGGGCCTTCATGAGCTTCCAAGCACTAAAGGAGCATTAGTACTTATTTCCACTGACTTTTCTCCTCCTGTGTTCATTGAGCTTCAGTCTTCTCCTGACTATGCTCAGAACTCTACTAAGCTCTCCTCCGAAAGCCTAAGCAAATCTGTTACCAGAAGGATGGGATGTACTAAGGGTTCTCAGGCAGGGACGCGGACTTATAAAAAATATTGGGGGGCCCGGGAAAGCTCATGAATAATAAATAAGCTCATGAATATGCAAATAAAGTGGCTCCGGCCCTAAATAGGGCAAGCCACGCCCCCCAGCCAGCCGATTGGCTGGCTGGGAGGTGTGGCCAGTCGGGATTCCCCTGTTCTCGCGGGGGCTGAAACCGCCAGGAGGAAGGAAATTCCCCCCGGCAGTGCCTTGGCAGTGGCGGTGGTGCTGCGAAGCAGCGAGGCAGGAGCCCCCACCCCCGGCGCCCGAGATTATTGGGGGGGCTGAGCCCCCCAAAAATTTTTTTGAGGGGGCTCGAGCCCCCTCAAGCCCCATGGAGTCGGCGCCTATGTTCTCAGGCTGCAGAGCAACAAGACACTCCTCTTCTTTCACTGCAACTTCCTGAGTTTTCTGGGCTTCCTGTTAAGCTCTTTTCAACGCAGCACAATCACACCCAACTGTTCTTTCCCCTCCCTCCTGAGTGAGCACTTCCACAACTTGTCGTCAGCTTGACCCACAAAGGATATTGAAAGCTGAACAATTAGCACTTGCTCTTGAAGGAATATACTTGCTCCATTTAGATAGACATTTATCCAGTGTTGCTGTGTTATAGCTTGGAGCACAAGGATCCTATTTGTGTGTGCATGTGTGTTTTGCGTCAGTTCAGTTTTAAAGCCTATGATTGGGGAAACAAAGTTTCTGCTACCAGTCTACTGTTCAAGATAGCTAGTGCTGTACAAATATGATACTATTATCTTTCCTCTTTCTCTGCAGGCTGACATTTGGTCATTGGGAATCACAGCTATTGAACTGGCCAAAGGAGAGCCTCCGAACTCAGACATGCATCCAATGAGAGTTCTCTTTCTCATTCCCAAAAACAACCCTCCAACCCTAATAGGGGACTTCAGCAAACCCTTTAAAGAGTTTATTGATGCATGTCTGAATAAGGACCCGACATTTGTAAGTGTGTTAACATTTCACTTCTTCAACATTAGGAATCTTGGGTGCTTGCAGTATTGTTTGTTATGCAAAAGAAAAGGCAGAGAAAAGTGCTGCAGGCTTTTTTTAAAAAAAATGTTGTTTAAACTTTTCAGCATACAGTACAATGAAAAACTAATCTAAATAAAAATAAAACAAGAAACAACAAAGGAAAAGGGGAGAGGTAACAAAGCCCTCTATCTGAGGTTGATCTTAACCCTTGTCTCACACAAAAGGGGGGGGGTGGACCCTCTCAGCTCTCACCTGGGAGCTTTCTTTTCTTCTCCCAGACTCCTACCCTGGGAGATCTTGCCTTGGCTTGCCTGCCTCTCATACAGGGTCTTTCACTTTCCATCCATCACCTTCCTATGTGTACCCTCACTAACCTAGAGTAAAGGTAAAGGACCCCTGACAGTTAAGTCCAATCGCAAACGACTCTGGGGTTGCGGCACTCATCTTGCTTTACTGGCCGTGGGAGCCGACGTTTGTCCACAGACCGTTTTTGTGGGTCATGTGGCCAGCATGACTAAGCTGCTTCTTGCAAAACCAGAGCAGTGCATGGAAACTCTGTTTAACTTCCCGCCACAGTGGTACCTATTTATCTGCTTGCACTGTGTGCTTTCGAACTGCTAGGTTGGTAGGAGCTGGGACTGAGCAACAGGAGCTCACCCTGTCACGGGGATTCGAACCGCCGACCTTCTGATCGGCAGGCCCTAGGCTCAGTGGCCACCCGCATCCCCTAACCTAGAGTAGAGGACATCAAAAACCAAAACATAGCACAGCATAAGCAAGAGTAAAATAGATAGAAGAAGGAAGAAAATGAGAAAACACTGGAAATAAATATAAAAAAATAAGAGAGAAATAAATAAAGAGGACTTCAGATTCTTTGTCTGTCAATTATGTATATAAAAAGAGTTCAATATTTTCAAAGTGTTCAGGATGGTATCCAGCTGTATTCCAGGGTAATATCCAGCTGTTCTTCAACCTGCTTATTGACGTTTTCCCAATCTTCAACCCCAGGCATCTCAAGTTTATTCATTTTCCTTTTCATGCAAAAAGTCCAAAAGTGGCTCTGCGGTTATTATCACTAAATGTCAAGAATAGTCTTCCTCCAGTCTGGTATGACAGCTTTTATCTCCAAGAAATTCCAATATCTATTATTAGAATAATAACCCATAGTTATTTATTTGATGTATATTCATTAATATACAGCCAGTTCCATATTCATCCAGTTCCAGATCTTCTGATCCCATTTCCTGTTGGCCATGATTTCCTGTCCTAAATTAGGAAAAGGAAAAAAAAAGTTCCTTCCATTTCTGTTTCTTCCATTCTTTTTTAAGAAGAATCACCAAAGGCTTAATGGCCTTTTCCTCTGAATTCACTCCAACTTGTACACAGGATCCTTTCTCTTTCGGCTCCATCTTTGCCATCTCAAGATGTTTCTTGATATTGCTTATCAATGGTTTCATTCCACTTCTCCAGCATCACAACTCCATTGTTTGTCTGTTTCAGTCCTTCAGACACCTATGTGGAAGTTCTTTCATTTCATCATCTGCTGCTTCCCACTTTACCATTCCACTCTCACGTTCAGGCAGATCTTTATCAGTATCCCCCTCTCCCCTAAGGTCCTGTGCATTCTTTGGTCTGATCGTTCTCTCCTTTTTCATTCAAGATTTTATGCATCTCAGTTCTAAGGTCTTTCAGTTGCTCATCCAATAATTGCTGCATGATGCCAACAGTCATTGCAGGGGTTCAACAGCCTCTTTGCCACATTTGGTTCAGTTAGTCTTCATGTTAAGTCTCTGCCTTGAAAACTTGTGTCTGTCTCTTTAAGAAGTGCATTCCTTTCGCACTCACAGGAATGTAGTTTCACTTCTGAAGCCAGCACTTCACAAAAAGGACTGAGAGTAAAAAGTAATATAAATTGAAGATGCTTAACAAGCAGAGCATTCTGATCCATTTATAATCTTTCTTAATCACAAATAATTAAGATACTTTTTGTTTTGTTTTCAGCATGTTAGCTAATGCCTCTTATCTCACACTCAGTTCATGTTCTTGGTGAAAATTAATTGGCAGACAGATCACTTCAGTCGTAATTGATCCCAATCTTAAAAGTAATTAAAAGAAGGGAGGTTTAGCTGACCTGTTGTCCTAAGGGCTAACATTCAGGGCTATTATGTGGTGTCTGGACACAATAGCAGTTCCTCACTCAAAGATGTATCCTGCATCCAAAAACTTTTCTGGTCTCTGGTGTGAAGAACACCTTTCTTCAGAGCATTTGAGGTTAATCCCTTGATCTCCCTGTATTCAAAGAGAGAGTGTAATAATGAAGATTTACATCTTGGCTATTGTTAATCGCTGCATAATTATCTCTGTTGAGGGACTGTCAGCAATTGAGGACTAGCCAGCCATCTTCCCTCCCGGATGTCTCCAGATTTCTCAAACTTTTTAAGGTCGGCATTAATCTACTTGAGGAGGCAGCGTACAGAGTATGCACAAAACACAATAGAATAGAGAAAATCCATGCATCAGATCAGCTGGGTGTTTTTTGGGGGTGGAGTTGCAGGGGCAAATTGGATGCTTGTTGGATGCTCTGTTCAGTTAAGGAATGAAAACCCTGGAAGGGAACAGAAGGTCATCCAAGCTTAAACCCTTCCAGTCTGCACATCAGTTTCCTTCAGAGGAATCTATTCCCAAAAGACTTCTGTAATAAAGGCACCACAGTGGTTTGTGTTATAATCCTGTTTCCTGCTCTGGCTTTAATGCATACAGTTGCTGCAGAGAACTAGAGCATTCTCATTGGTCTAATGCTTGTTGGCATAAAAGTAAGGAAAAGTTTTGGATTACTCGGAGCTCTTGGAGAGGCAGAGTGGAAAGAAACCTAATTTTCAGACATAAAGAGAATGGAGTTGTTTGGACAAATAGTGCACTGCCATCCAATTACAAAATGCTTGGTAGTAGATGTAATCTGATCTAATGAGCCAACTTCCACTATAGCTATTGTAATTTTTTATTTATTTTCGCAAATATCTGCATCTTGCCCTTCCACTACATTTGCAGTGTTCAGCAGCTTACAAAAGTTGGGGGGGAAACACTAAAATCTAACAGATTGATGAACATGGGAAGCCAGACCATTGCTCTATCTTGCTCAGTACTGGTTGGTAGCGGCTCTCCAGGGTTCCAGGCAGGGAATCTTTCCCATCTCTACCTGGAGATGCCAGGGATCAAATTTGAGATCTTCTGCATGCTGGCAGATCCACTGTCACAGAGCTACTGTCTGTCCCCTGAGATTAAACCAATCTAAATAATAAGTATGGTAACCACAAAGGAATCCTTAGCACAGCAGATCAATCGCCATAGGGAAGGCCCCTTCCCATGTTCCAATCAGTCACGCCTCAGTCACAGTCGAGACCCAAAGAAAATCCTCAGCAGTGTATCTTAAGGAGCGGGCGGGCTGGTAAGGGAGGCCTTTATAGATAATTGTCAACATTTTGCATTCTGCTTGCAAACAATTTACCACTTCATGTCTTTTACAGCGTCCCACAGCAAAAGAACTTCTAAAGCACAAATTCATTCTGAAAAATGCCAAGAAGACTTCATATCTGACGGAGCTTATTGATAGATTTAAGAGGTGGAAAGCAGAAGGACATAGTAGCGATGAAACAGATTCTGATGGTTCTGATTCGTAAGTCTGGATTTTTGATTATTTGCCAGGAATTGGGGAGTGGGCAGGGGAGCTGTCCCAGTGGCAGGAGTTGAGGGGGTAGAGTTCAGCTCCTGTATTATCATTATGTTTATACTGCTTTCTATTTTTAAGAAAAAATATCAAAACATCAAATAAAACAATCCAGAACAAAACATTACTGAAGAAAGTTAAATATGAAGTATACATTCAAAGCAACATAATTAACAGGAAACTAAAATGTTATCTTAAAGATCTCAAATTAAAACATTACAAAGGGGGTAGACTACAGAATGCACATTTAATGCAGCAAGCAAAGTTAACCAAAACAATCTTAAAGATTTCAAAAGAAAATATTACTTAGGGAAGTCAAATATAAAATGCACATTTAAATAGCATAATTAACAAGATAAAATATTATCATATCTGCTGCTGTTGCTGCCAGTCCTGTCAATGGTGGTTCATGGTGGGCAGCAGCTGTGGAAGATCAGGCTCAATTACCTAGGTCTTCACCTAGAAACAACCAAGGTGGCCTCTTCAGCAACCTCAGCTTTTGTAGCCGGAGTCAGTCAGTTGGAAGACTGGGCTTCCCAGGCCAGGTGGAAGAAAGGGCTGCAAGGCAGGGAGCTGGTCTTCCAGGACTCACAGCCAAGATGGTCTGCTGTTGGAACTACCACTTCAGACTACTATTCCAGGGGTCTACAGTATTTGGCTAAACTTGCTAGCCAAACTAACATTTATGTTCACCAGGTTCCTCCCCTCAGCTAGTTTAATAGAGGCATATTTCTCCAGCCAACAGCAAAGGAAGTGCACGTATGCACACAAACACTTTTCCAGTGAGAAAAAGACAAGTAGACTCAAGGTTTCAGTTAGTGCTCTGCAGAGAAGCCCTTGTGCCGAGGAATGGCTGGAGAGCCAACCCTGCACACATGCACACCTGTCTCCTACGGCAATGAGAGGCAGAGAGAAGGCAAGTTTCAGTGATATGCCTTTGGCTCTTTTGCCAAGCAGCATCCCCTTACCCCCATGAAACAGACATAGGAAGCATGCGTGGCTTGGAGCAGCAGCAAGCATGCAGTCCTTGGTGAACACTCTTTTGCATCATGTTATTCAGCTACTGCTTGGCAAACAAGGTCTGAACCTCACAACCAAGCAGTGGTTGAACACACTCCTCCCTCCCCTCAATCTGTCTTGTGGGAAGTTGAGGCAGGGAGCATGGCACATGGCATAAGGACACTGAACCTCTCTGCTGAGTAACAACTGGAGCAGCTCCTCCTGTCTCCTTTTCCTGGAGGGAAGAGAGGAAAGAGGAAATGACAGCTTTAGCCACAGCTTGGCAGTAAGACTCCAAGGAAGCGGTGGGAAATAAACCTCTGCCACCCTTTCTTGCTTCAAAGTAGGAAAAGTCAGAGGGCTCACTAGCTTGGTCTTCAAGGTTGAGGCACTCTAGGCATGTTGGCCATACAGCTGCATCAATACCCCCTGCCCACCTGTGCAACTTGGAAGTTGGAAGGAGAGCCATGCTGCATGGATAGTTGTTAAAGCCAGGCACAAACAAGTGGCCGTCTTGGAAGCATCCGTTTGCAACTTTCTGAATTCTTCTGCCTCTATCCTCAGAAAGTCAGGAGACCCTTTCCAGCAGCACCTAACCCAGGGGTCAGCAAATGTTTTCTGCAGGGGGCCGGTCCACTGTTCCTCAGACCTTGTGGGGGGCTGGACTATTTTTTTTGGGGGGGGGAAATACGCCCCCACGACTCTCCCCTCCCTTCTCCACAGCACCAGATGAGCCCTGGTGGCTGCTTACCTGTGCCTTGCAAGTGGCAGGGGCTGGCGGCAGCGGCGGGATGATGAGTGGCGTGAAAGGGCTGGCTCCGGAGAGGAGCTGCTCTGCTTTAAACAGCGCTCAGCACCTAGCTCCTGCGCCTTGCGAGCGGCAGGGGTTGGCGGCAGTGGCGAAGGAACAATGAGTGGCTCGAAAGGGCTGACTCCAGAAAGGGGCTGCTTAAAATGGCCCTCAGCTAACCACGGCTCAACAAAGCCCAGCCCCCTTCCTCCTCTAGGCAGGGTGGGGAGAAGCCAGGAGGAGGGAGGGAGGAAGCGCTGTCATGGTGTGTGGGGGGGGGAATGGTGCAGCCCAAACGATCAGAATCCCTACGCCGATCCACGTGGCAATTCCTGGACCATCCGCAGGCTGGATCCAGAAGACAATTGGGCCGGGGCCGGTCCCCGGGCCTTAGTTTGTTGACCCATGACCTAACCAGTTGCAAGTGATTTACTTTGGTCAAGAGCTACTTTGTGAACAGCAAATGATAACAGCAGACATACACACACAGTAGATCCTCTTACTTCATTTTTAATTGCCATTTGTTTTCATAAATGAAGTAAATTTAAATTGAGAGACCATGATCTCATTCAGGGTCACTCTCTGAATTTCAGGACTGAGCCTGTGTCCACTGTAGCACAATGAGTGTGGTGTCTCTTTGTCACACTGTATGGATGTTTCCCCTTCATTTATGCTCTCTTCCTTTTCCTGAAACACTTTCAGGTTACTGCAGAATTATGTCACCTGTAGGGAGCCTGGAAACTATGCTTCTCCCAGATGGGACATTCCTAAGAATATCATATGCCCCAGAGCTGTGCTTCGTATGCACTGTAGACTGAACTTTTAGTGCTAGAACTCCAGTCCTCTGGAATTAGTTACCAGCACCTAACACTTTGACATTTGGTGGCTGTTGAAGACATTTTTGTTTAAGAAGGCTTTCTGTGAAGTGTATACAGTCAGGCTTATGCGGTGTTGATACAGTTGTAAAAATGGTTCTACTGTTTGATATCTTTCTGTAGCTAACTTTTATTTAATGGAATAATACTTCAGTAACTTTTGGTTGTGAAGCAATTTGTAAATTTATAAATAAAAAGGCATCAATTTGAGGGGTTTATGCCTGCAAAAAAGGTAGACACTCCCCCACAATTTGGTGCGACCCACCATTAAAAAGTTTGTGGGCTGTATTTTTTAAATAAATAAGGCACAAATCTGTTGAGGTAAGTTGAGCTGCAGAATAAATCCGGGGGGGGCGGGGCGAGGCATTCCTGCCTCTACTATACTTCTGCTAAGACTGAAAAGTGTCTTTCATAGACCTTGCAGATCTTAGGTGCAGCCATTGTACTCAATGTCACTTTTGTCACAGATCTGATTGGGCTGTGTTTTCTTTTGGTTGTATCTGCCTCTCTCCACATCCACAAAAGAAGACCAAAAATGCTGCTCTAAACTGGTTAATTTCTTTTGTTATTGGCTCCAAGTCAAAAAGAACCTGGATGGGGCTTCTGATTGTCCTTTTTTACAGTACATCACCATCATCATCAGCATCAATTTTATTTGTATATTGTCCTCCCCAGCCATAACCGGGCTCAGGGCGGCCAACATCAAAATATAAATACTTAAAATGTAAAGTTCAGCAATTGACTGAAATACATAATCTAAAATGGATTGGGGGTGGGGGAAGAGCAAGGTTTGGATTCTAGTATTTCTTAGAGTTTTGTCCAGAGTTTATTGGCGTCTACTTTGGAAGCAAACCTACAGCATTTTTCCTCCTCATTTGGCACGATTTTATATTTAAGGGTTTCAACTATGGCAGACCTCTGGCATGGTAGCACAGTTCTTTAAAAGCTTTGTCATTTTCTTCCCTTCCCCATTAGGGAGTCTAGCAACAAGGAGAACAATTCCCACCCAGAATGGAGTTTTACTACAGTTCGGAAGAAGCCAGAGGCCAAGAAACTGCAGAACGGAACAGTACGTCCAGCCAGAATTTCTTTCTACTCTTTAAGCTCCTTGGAAGCTGCCACAGGCAGAGAGCTGACCCTTGGTGTTTGTAAAGCAGTCAGAAATGTCCCCACCCCTCTGTAGACACACAGCATTGCTCCCTGGCAATACTGACTACATTTCAGGTGGTCAAATTCATCTCTGCAGTTGCGAGGATCAGAACGATGGTTATAGTGGTAGTGATGCTTACAACTTTTATTAATGAAGACTAGGATTATCAGGTGGGACGCGGGTGGCGCTGTGGGTAAAAGCCTCAGCGCCTAGGGCTTGCCGATCAAAAGGTCGGCGGTTCGAATCCCCGCGGTGGGGTGCGCTCCCGTTGCTCGGTCCCAGCGCCTGCCAACCTAGCAGTTCGAAAGCACCTCCGGGTGCAAGTAGATAAATAGGGACCGCTTACTGGCGGGAAGGTAAACGGCGTTTCTGTGTGCTGCGCTGGCTCGCCAGATGCAGCTTGTCACACTGGCCACGTGACCCGGAAGTGTCTCCGGACAGCGCTGGCCCCCGGCCTCTTGAGTGAGATGGGAGCACAACCCCAGAGTCTGTCAAGACTGGCCCGTACGGGCAGGGGTACCTTTACCTTTACCTTTAGGATTATCAGGACCGCAATAAAAAAGTGAACTGTGGTGTAAAATTATCTAACACTTCTGTAAATTGTGTTTAACCTACCGTATGTCCACCACTTTATTTATTGGGAGGACACACCGTAGTTTGGAGCCAATGAAGCTTTTCTCTTCTTTCCTCATTCATATACATTTATATTATTTTGGTTATTTATTGCTGCTATTTTGGGTCTATTTTGATAAAAGAAAAGCAGGGTGTTGATTAATAATGTAGCGAGTTCATTGGTACTCAGCTGCTGGTGGCAGCTCAGTAGATTGTCAAGTAAGAGTCTGTAGAGCATATAAAGTGTTTCCTGTGATCCGCACCCTCCCTCCAGTTGCAAAAATCATTGTGATGAGAATAAATTTGATTATTTCAGTCCATATAAGTTGTTGTTTTCTTCATTTTGGGGGGCCACCTCCAGGACTGACCTTTGGAAAAACAGCCATAAGCTGTACCCAAGTTTGCACCTGCGAGAAAAGTTGCTGCTGCAGATCTCCCTGTGGACTATATCTCTTATCAGCCCAGTTTATGCCAGCATTTCTCCATACATCTGTAGGCACATATGTGAACACGAGGAGCCCCTCATGTAGTCTTGTCCATTTTTAACTGGTCCTTGGTCTCCTACTTAATTCAGTTATTTGTCAGCAAGTGTTTGATTAATGTATCTCCTAACTTTCCAGGACCAAGATCTCATGAAAACCCTGAGCTGTTTAACGATGATAATCACTCCTGTCTTTGCTGAGGTAAGTTTTCAGTTTGAGGCACATCCAAAGCATGTACAGTAAAGGTTGCAAAGTTTTGACCATTTTTGTCTGCCTCTCAGCTTAAGCAGCAAGACACCAATAATGCAAGCAGGAAGAAAGCAATTGAAGAACTTGAAAAAAGCATCAATATGGCAGAAGCAACATGTCCAGGAATCACTGATAAGATGGTGAAGAAACTTATGGAGAAGTTTCAGAAGTAAGCATATGGGTTTCATTTCTTAACCTGTGTTCTTCTTTAGGGTCTGTAACCTCATTTCCTGCTTTCTGTGTGAGTGTAGGAAAGGTAGTGGAAAAAGCACTGTTAGCAACCTTAGGAGGTGGAACTGGATTGAAAGAGTCTGGGAGGATTAATGTGAGGATGGTGAGGAAAATGAACAGTGTACATGGATTGGTAGTCTGTAAAATAAATAAATTATTAACTACTTAGCTGGGATATAACTGAGCACTTTCTTCTTGTGTTTGTCTCCTTAGGTTTTCAGTTAATGACTCCTCCTAAGAAACTTTCTATCAATGATGCTGTTCCATATGGACCCAGTAATAGCCCACCAAAACCTACTATAAGCTTGGCAATGCTTTGTTCATGAGCTCCTTGTGCCTTTTGGATCATTGCAACATATATGATGATCGCAGATTTGAAAGGACTTAATTCCACTATTTTGTGATGGGTATACATGCTTTTTTGTATTTCCAGGACATTCTTTTTTGTAAAGAGCAACTTTTAATATTGTAGTTTTCACTTATTTAATCCAGTTTAAAACAAAAAACAAAAACGGTGAGGTGCAGCTTTGCTTCTAGATATAACCAGTGGAATGCCAATCTCCACGCGCAGGATCTGGGTTGACCAGAGATCAATGGAATGCACTTGAGTTCATAGGAAGTGCACATGCTGTGTTTCAACAACATTTCGTTACTCTCCAGAGACGAGTCTTGTTTCTTTTTATGTCCACATAAGATACAGTTCTTATGAGTCACTAAAACTAGACTTCAAAACAGCTTTTTACAGGAAAATATACGAGAGCACCTTAACCTATAGGATGTGGCTGTAGCACTTGCTCAAACACCATAGTAGTCTTTATTTAGGCCCCTGTAAATGTAATACCTGCAACAACATAGGAGCTAACTCCTAGGGGCCGAGGTCCCTTTGGCGCCCCTGATAAAATATTTGAGCAGGCAAAGTTGGTTGGCAATGCCATTCATATGGAGGGGTGTCACCATGTCATGTGACCAATGATGGGGGGCACAGGGGCACAGCTTTCCTGGAGTGCCCTCCCCCCAATATTTTATCCAAGTTGGCATCACCAAGCAACACTATTCTTTTGAAAAATGGGTACAGTGTTTTAGGCAGCTCTATAATCACCTACATTTTGAGAGCAATATGTCATTAGCTTTGCAAGTTAACATGTAGTGACTGATATAGCTTAGTATACAGTTTGTATGTATTACCCTTTAGGGCAGGATTTCAAATAGTCAATTCATCATGGTAAGGAAAATTTTAAAGCAATACAGATGAAGGGCAGGGGGCTTTCTGCAATAATGGACACACATAGAAATCTGGCTTAATTTAATCATTTCTTCATTCTTTAGTAAGATTCGGGAGGGGGAAGTAGCTCATTCTTTGTTTTGGCCAGGGGACCTATGGGAATACCGTGGCATGCGATGAAATACCTCACCAGAAGGTATAAGTGTGTGACACCAGCGTTTTGTGTGGTGGTGTTCTATCCTGTAAGATATTTATACACTTACGTTCTTATAGACATTTACATGCAGTGCATTACCATGTTTAATTCCTCTTCCCCACCCCTATGTATTTTAAATACGTATTTACCAGTTAATATGCAAATAACTGAGTTATAGATATTCTTTCACAAAAAGATAGTACTGTGCAGTACAGAGTGATTTTTTTTTCATAAAAGGTAGCTAAAATTATAAACTTGCTTTCAATTATATATTTATGGTACTGTTTAGATTGGGTAATCTCTCCCCCCCCCCCTTTCAACCCAGTTTGTATATTATGCTGAAGTTTGAAGTGGGGTTGTATTTCAGTCCTTAGCTGTGGAACTGTTGGTGTAAATTTATTTTTGATAAAAAGTCTGGATGTGTTTAATTTTATGGTTTGGATCTGCACATTTTTTGTTTTTGCACAAAAGTCATTTAAAGGATTTGAAATATATCTGCCAAATATTGAAAAGCGTTAAAGGAATGCAAGCAAATACTGATTTTTTTTCCTTAGTTTAAAAGTTGCCATTACATCGTTTAAAAAAATAAATAAATAAATAAATAAATAAAGATATAAAGACACTGGCGACAGATGGTGGTTTAGAAATGCCAAGGGCAATTATTTTCAATGGTGCCTACACTGTAAAAAATATATATATACTTTAACTCATTTGTTTTAATTTTAAAGAAATGTTTGTTTAAAAAAAAGCTTTCATCGCTATATAACTGAAACACAATTAAAATTTATATCTGAGGGGGGGAAAGTCTGGGCATAGTTTTTGAAAACAATAATGTTATGGATTAAATAAAAATATTTTTATAAATGTAAAAGCAGCAAATGTTGTAAATATACAGTTGATCTGAAGCTTCACAAAATAACTGCATCACTGAAACAGAACTCTAGTGCTCTTCTCTGTAGCTATTAGGCCTGTAAATCTGTTTATAGATGAAGCTCCTTTCAGTGTTTTTGGGGGGGCTGGGGGAGGGCAGGCAAGGGGGCAGCAGAAGGTTGAATGGTTTAAAGAAATAAATATTTAAGTTCTGTAATCTTGTTTGGTCCTCATCCTCATTTCTGTGATGCTATACTTTTAAAGCCGTCATGTGCTCAAGGGGAAAGATGAGCATTCTGCTTTTCTGTGCTTTGGGGCACAATCCTACATATGGTCTGTGGGAGGGTGGGCCAGGTGGCCATAAGAGCTTCCAGGTCTCCTCCAAGGATGAAAGGAGAATCCTTGGAGAGGCTGCCTGGAGCTTGTAAGCCTCCCAGCTATGTGTGCGGAAAGCTCTGTATCCATTGCTTCTTCATTGGAACTATGGTGTCAGAGAAAGCACACACCCCATGAACGCCTCTTTTGTAGAAAATGTGGCTTTTTAATGGTGGTTTCTCTCCATTCGCCCCCGAAAGGAGGCTGCATCCCATGTACACAGGGTAGCCCAAAAGTATGCATGCATACACAACAAAGGGACAGTTAAATTTCAGGCTTGCAAGTGGATTGTTTTTGAAACCAGGCGACATTTAGGACAAGGAGGCAAAAAGACCTTCCTGGCTAGCATTTTCTTTGGGTGGTGTGCACTGACCACTTAACCCCACTGGCAGATTCCTGAAATTCTGAGTAGTTATTGTTATTGGGCAGAACCAGGAGTTAGCAGAGATTCCCAGATAAAGACAGGTTACTTTTTCTTCCAGTCTAGTGCATTATAACTTGCTTAGATATATATGGAAAGTAAGAAAGGGATCCCGGTACAGTTCATGTATTAAAAGCACTTGAAAGACCACTGCTAGTCGTCATGCTGTAAAAGTGCAAAGCATTCAGGCCTGAGAACTGTTAATAAGCAATATCTAACTTGAATCAGATATTGGTAGTACTTAGCCATGGGACCCCCTAGCTAAAATCTTTAGTATTGCTAGATCTCAGCATTTGAAAATGGCACTTGCCCTTCTTTTTGTGATACACTTGGAATTATTAGCAATACTTGTGGCATATACCTGATGGCTTAAAAAAATACATCTCCATGCTGGAACCTATGTAGAAAGAAGGGAATACTTAAATACGTGCTAGAAAATGACACACCCACCCAATCATGTCATTGTTTAGATAATTATAACAAACTTATCACCCCCTTTTTAGTCTTCCCCCTAAAAGAAAAATGTCACACTGCCAAGCTGTTTGGTGATGTATGAGCTATCTATTTGGGAAGGTGAGCTATTCCCATATATCTGCTACAACACTAGTTTTCTATGCTAGGAACTATATCCTGTCGCCCCCCCCCCCATAGTATGGGATGTGTCAAAGAGAAAGCATGTAAACTTCCCCTCTCCCCCCATTTTTTAAATATTCTTATAACGTCTCACTCACTTTCTTTTGCAGAGCCCTTTGCTTTGGTAGATTCCTCTTGTTATCAAATCCCAAAGTTTTAATTAATCATTCCTGCAAAACCAGTCATAACCCCAAGGACCAAGGAAGGACCTCCTTCAAAGATCTACTGGCATAACTCAGTCCTGTTGTTTTACGTAAAATAATTAGATGCTCCCTGTGAAGTCCTGTCCTCAATGTTGGCGGTAGTGAGACAAACTTCTTCATCCTCCCCCTCCAGCTGTAGGCTCCCTGAAGACAGGCGGACCCGTGCCCTGGGTGCTTTCACCACCCTCCCGTAGAGAGAAAAGTAATCTGGCAGCATGTCTGAATCAGAGTCGCTGGATTCTGTCCCACTGCCCACATAGCGCTCCAGGGTTCGCTGGGCCCTGGGAGGTTCTGGCAACCTTTGCTGGGCCAGCACATACTGCAAAATATCAGCCTTCCTGCTGCTCAAGACAGGACAAGGTCCTAGAGGCCGGAACTCTGAGCCATAGGGAAATCTGATCATTTTCATGTCAGACTGGCTCCAAGACCTCTTGGGAGTCTGGTCTTGGATGCTGTAGTCAAAGACGCTTCCGTCATCATCTTGCTCCATGCTAATGCTGCTAAGGTAGGTCATTCTGGGCAGGACCTCTGGTTCAGCCACCCTTGTTCTTGCCATGCCTGGGCTTCTCCTGGAAGGCTTCATGGGTGATGCACCAAGCATGTTCACCCCACTGGCTGTTTCCTCAGCAGGGCCTGCCACAGCTGTGTGCCTGGACATCTGGGGAGGCCTGTCCACATAAAAGAAGACTTGAGGAGAAGCCATGTCCAGTTGCTGGTGAATGGGGCCCCTGTAGGGAATGTCGGTGTAAGTCAGCTGTTGCCTAGGGGTCATCTCCCTCATGTTGCCCACCGAGGTGCTTTTACTGTTCCCAGCCAGCTTGTAGCTGGGCTGGAAGGATGTCAGCGGGACCCGTTGTTCATAGATGTCGGCTGCCTCCCAATCGTGTTCCAGCTCTGTGTAGACCAACGGGAAGGTGGAGCTGCTTTGGGAATGGGGCAACAGCGTTGGGTCAGCTTCTGGCTTGGACCGCTCCAATTCATCAGCAAAGATCACTTCCACTGCAGAGTTCCTCCGCCTGCTGTCCAGCATGGGCTCGGAAGTGTGGACTCCATTGGCACTGTGGTAACCTCCTATGGTGCCGTAGACCAGCCGCAAGTCCTCCATCTGGGGAGAGAAGAACATAATTTCACCTAAGGAACAGTGTTGTTTTAGCAAACACCCTCCTCTTCATCACAAGCAAAGCGTAAGAGACGGCAGTGGTGCCCTGGAGCTGGTGGGGCAGAATGCAAGGATCCTGAGTGGTAGGTGGAGCTAGAGCCAATGATAGGGGGAACCAACTAATTTGCATCTTATCCCCCTCTTCCTGCACCCTGCTGAGTTTTGCAGGGGCAACATTGAGACTAAGGAGGAGGAAGCTGCCAGTGCCTTACCCTGGACTGAACTTAAGTTTTTGAAAATGCAGGCAGCTTAGGGTTGGTGGGGAGTTCTCCATTCACCCCAATGGACCAGCTGACATGGTCTTTCTTTGGCAGTGCAGTCACAGAATGGTGTACGAAGCCCACACTTTGTGTGCCCGTATAGCAGTCTCCCTAAGTTCTTTTGGCCTGAGGCCAATTCCCTTTCCCCCTGGTTTCCTTCTCTTCCCTGTCTGCTGACAACACTCTGTACAAACTAGATGTTCACAAGATGCTTGTCAGGCAATGTGGTTTCCTCTCTAAAAAAGTTTTTGTTTTCTTTTAATGCACATCTGCATAGCTAAGGAGTCCCCCAAACATGTAGAAATAGCACTTTGTTTTCGGGTAGCCTTTTTTCACTTCCAAACTGGCCATCACACACCCAACTATGTTCACTGTTAGAGGGAAGAAGGAGGAGGCAAAATCAGAATCCTGGAGAGGCCAAACAGGCCGGCTGCCTCTGTTGTGAGAGTGTACTTTAGGATCATAGGAAACTTTTGTTTTTAAATTAACCCGTTTTCTTCTGGCCAATTGCAACTCTTGTGTGCATCTTTTAATATGCCACTTAAAATCTGCCTTTTATATATTACACATTTTTGTTTTTTTAAAGATCATCTGATTCATTGAAATATTTCCGTTGATTGATCTAATGGATTAATCAACTAAAGAGTGGAGGCCTAATTGAAGCAGCAGGAGCCCTGCTGCCTGTTATATGGGAGGGGGAAGTATGTCCCCCCCCTGCACCCCAAAGTAACATACACCCTGAATCTAAATAGATGAGATCCAGTCTTTTTCTTTCTTTTTCTCATATTTCTGCACCCCCCTACCCACTGACCAAATGACTTACTTGTTTGGAAACATCTGTAAGTAGGTCTGGTGAGGACCGGCACTGTCTCTCATGGTACCGAGAGGGATAGTGTTTCCTGCAGTTGAAATTAAAGGACAATGGTTAATGTCCAATATAATTCAAATCTGATGTCAAGGAAATAAAAGCATCCAACAAAATGCTCAAGGAGAGTGACTCTCCTGTGAAGAACATTTGCAGTTTGGGAATTTTTAGAGGAAATGTGATGTTAGAAGTTTATAAAATTATTTGTGGTACGGAGTGGGCAGAGAAAAGTTTTCCCCTTATATCACTAGAACTTGTGGGATATCCAAGGAAGCTGGAGATTCAAGACAGACAAAATAAAGCATTTCTTGACACGCAACTTGGATGCTTTTAAAAGCGGACTGGACATCCATGGAGGAGAAGCCTATTGGGGGCCTCTAGCCAGGATGGCTGTGCTCTGATGCCACAGGTAGAGGCAGCAGTGCTTCTGAATCCGGAGGGCAAGAAGTTGCAGGAGGGGGGAGCAGCGTTTGGGTCCTGCTTGCAGGTTTCCCACAGGCATCTGGGAAGAACAGGTCACTGGGCTGGATGAGCCTTCCTTATATTATGCAGTGTTCAAGCAGTCCTAATATTTATTTTCCCTTCCTTATGACATTCTGTATATGTCTCCCCAAGTTTTTAAAAATCTCAGTGAAATCACACACACATACAGAGAGAGAGAAATTTAAGCATCCTGCAACTTATTTCCCCAAGCCTTGCTAATATATTAAGGTAATTTTTTAAAGGGTTTAGCACACCCAATCAAAGGCTCGATGTAGGCAAATTTAGAATTGGCTCCCTAACTTTTATTAACTTATTATACCAACACCAATACAGACATCACTCACAAGACAAACAAACAAAAAGATATAACTACACATATAGGACAAATGATACACATACACCCCTATTTCAATTTTTATTCATTTCTATTTGACTTCCTTCAACCTCAACGCAAGTCCAGTTGTATACTTCATAAACTGTTTCCTTCTCAATTCCTCTTCTCTAGTTTTCTTCTATAGCTTATATTTTTACACCATATCTTATTTGTGAAAATTAGTCCAGACAAGCCAAAGTATTATTTTGAGGGCACTGCTTTTTCAGGTATTCACTATATTTTCCCCATTCCTTTTGAATTTTTTGTTTGCATTGGTCTCTAATCGCCTCTGTCAGTTTAGCCAATTCTAAATGATCAAATAGCTTATCTTGACATTTATTTATTTTTTGTTGGGATTGTTTCATTTTTCCAATTTTTGGCAATTAGAATTCTTGCTGCTGCTGTCACATAAAGAAAAATTCTCTTATTTTCCTTCACAATATCTGGCTCTAATATTCCAGTAAAAAGGCTTCTGTGTTTTTTAAAAAGTTTGTTTGAATATTTTCTTCAGCTCTTCACAAACCATATCCAAAAAACTCTTAATTTTATCACAAGTCCACCACATAGGCAGCAGCGTGCCCTCTGCTTGTTTGCACCTCCAACAAATTTTTGATTTTGTTCTATACATTTTAGATAGTTTGTAAGGTGTCATATACCATCTGTAGAACATCTTAAGAAAATTTTCTTTGATTGCCTCACATGCCGTGAATCTCCAATTCTCTTTCCACAATTTTCTGCTAATTGAATAGGTTTACCTTTATCTATTGCCCATTTCACTATTACTTCCTTAACTTATTCGTCTTTCACCTCCCATTCTAGTAAGATTCCATACATCCTAGAAATTATTTTTGTCTTATTTTGTATTAGTTCTCTGTCCAATATTGAGACTTCCTTTGCAAAACCTTTTTTGTTATCTATTTTAAACACTTCATTTAGTTGGTGGTACTGAATCCATCTTGTTAGATGATGTTAGAATTTGCTCACTTTGAGCCAGCTTTGACTGGTAAGTCACTGAGCAGTTTTGGCCTAGGCTATATAAGAGGTCACCTTCTCCCATGCAGGCTTCCCAGATCAGTACAATCAGCTGGAGAGCTTCTGCAGACCATGTAACTTTGCACAGATGTTTACTTAGCTGCGGTATGGAGGAGGGCCTTATCGGTGGTGACACTTAACCAATGGAGTGGTCTTTCAATAAAAAGCAGGCAGGTACCAACACAGGGTGGCTGCTGCCAGAATTTTTAAAAATTCTTGCTTTCCCTTTGAAAGCACTTGTGCATTTAGAAGATTGATATACTTTTCACTTCTGTGAAAAATTCACAAAGTTAGTAAACTCTGAGTAAACTCCTACTGGAACTATATATGGGGCAACTCTGCTCTTGAGAACTTTACTGCCAGGCTTTTAACTTGAAGGGAGGGCATCAAACAGAACACTGGCAAGAAGGTGGGAGTTCTTATTGTGGAAAGATCATACCTCTCAAAGGGCAGGCTCTTCAGTTTTCCTTTTGTCCCATGTTCCAGCAGCTGCCGCTGAGTCCTTCCGCTGCCATTTTAAGGACAGGAAATATATGAAGACAGTTGTGGCACCCTCTCCCCGAGACTACTGTTGCTCACTTTTACACTACGTCAGTGGTGTAGCAGCAAATTCAGAAGCACAGGATATATGAGGGGTATTACTTGCTCCTCTGGCAAAATGTTTTGAGCCAGCGGAACGTCATTGCACAAGCTCATGCGCATGCATAAACAGGTTGCTGGAAACTTTACTGCCCAATAGATGGTGTGATCTGCAGCACACAATGAGTTTTCCACTAGCACAACTGTTGCGCTGGATTCCTCTGTTGGGCAGCATGAATAATGGTGATTTACATTACTTGTACCAGACCCCCAATGTGTGTGGGGGCTCCACCCCCCCAAGGTAGTTGGATAAACGGGGGGGGGGGGAGAAATGTGCATTTGTTTCAGTTGACTTAGTTCCTGAATATGATTGTAGGTCAGAATGTCCTTCCTATCTTACCAGTATCGGAAACTGGAGCCCTTGCTGCACAAAAAGGCTTTGGGTTTTGACTTTGGCTCTTCAGAGAGTCGGAAAAAAGCATGGTATTCCACACAGGTCTTCCAGAAGGCTTTGCAAGTGTCTCGGCTTGCCATGGTGAACTCCAGTGTATCCTTGCACAAGGCCTGAGGCAGAGAGTAGGGATGGGAGAGAGAGAGAGAGAATGTGTCACAGTGTCATGTAGTATAGTGGTTAGTGTGCCACTCAAAGACTTGGGAGACCAGCATTCAAATCTCTACTTAGTTATGAAGCTCACTTCTCTCCAACTTCTAGTCCAACTTCTCTCAGCCTAGCCTACCTGTTGAGATGATGAAATGGGGAAGGGAAGAACACCCTCCAGAGGTTAGATAGATAGATAATTTATTACGGTCAAAGACCAGCTCAACCTTCAGAGGTTGTTGGGTCTCCATCTCCCGTCAATGCAGTTAATAATTAGCAACATCAGGAGATTCCTCATCTCTGTTCCTAAGTTGCTATTGTATCATACCCCCTCATTCCTCCAAGCACTTCATGGCAGCACACATTTCTCTGCTTCTACATCCTCTTTGCAATCCTCACAATAATTCTGTGAGGAAGGTTAGGTGGAGATACAAAAATTGGCCCAAAGTCGCCCAGTGAGTGAGTGAGTGATCAGGGATTTGAACCTGGGTCTCCCAAGTCCTAGACCCAGTGTTTTTTTCCCAGGGGGACACATACCCTAAACATTTTATGAATCTAAGTTTGGCCTCATTGAGGGGCAGTATTTCAATATGAATAGGAAAATGAGAGTACTCCTAAATATTTTTTATTAAAAAAAAGCACTGCCTAGACCAATAATCTAACCACTATTTATTAAATAAAAAGAATTAAAAAATTGTCCAGTAGCACCTTAGAGAGGTGCGTATGCACATGAAAGCTTATACCCTGAACAAACTTAGTTGGTCTCTAAGGTGCTGCTGGACAATTTTTTAATTCTTTTTATTTATTTCAACTGCATCAAACCAACACGGCTGCCTACCTGAATCTAGAATCACTGGTTATTAGTTCTCTGAACTCATTTATGCAGTGGTTTCCCTGTGTGGTGGCACCCACCAGTACAGAGCACCGTCACCTCTTTTTGTGCTGGCCATAGTAGCCTCTTTGCTCTGGCAGCCACAACACTTTTACCAAGATGTGAGCAATTGCACCTCATTCCGAATCCCCACCCCCCACCCCGACCTTCCAAAAGTGCTGCCTTTATGCCGGGTAAGATGGAAGCCAGGCCATTCCATATACAATGACCACAACCTACCAGAATCAGCACTATAAATTTAGCCAAGAAGAAGAAGAAGAGTTTGGATTTGATACCCCGCTTTATCACTACCCTAAGGAGTCTCAAAGCGGCTAACAATCTCCTTTCCCTTCCTCCCCCACAACAAACACTCTGTGAGGTGAGCCAGGCTGAGAGACTTCAGAGAAGTGTGACTAGTCCAAGGTCACCCAGCAGCTGCATGTGGAGGAGCAGGGAATCGAACCCGGTTCACCAGATTATGAGTCCACTGCTCTTAACCACTACACCACACTGGCTCTCAGAAGCAGAATCTGAGCCCACATTTGTGAGATTCTGAGGGATCGCAAAATGCCACACTGGATGCAGGTTACTGAAGCATCTGGGAATGTATCTATAATATGTTTTAGATACAAAAGTCTCCTGGTTAAGAGCGGAAGCCTATTTTATCTATGAAGCTGCATCTGTGGAAAATCCCATTTCCCCAGAACACTCAACACCCTGTCATGCTGTAGCATGATCGGCAATGAAGAGCTGTGCAGATAGGAGCACCTTTGATTCTTAATGGTTGTGAGAAGCAGGGAACAGATTTAGCTCCATCCTCATGGCCTGCCTGCAACCCCAGTGCCCCCCTTGATTTTATTGAATGGCTGCCATTCATTTCCCTATGGAGGAGAAGTAAATCACTGCAGTTTGAGGATGCCATTGCAGGGGGGGGGGAGCAGACCAATGTCTGGCAGTGGGTGGGCCGGCCTCCTCTCTCCTGTTTATCTTGTGCACAAATACAGGAGGTGTGGCTAGGTGTATGAGAGGTGTATGAAGCAACAAAAGCCCCCCCCAAAAAAACACACACCAGGTTTCTTGATCTGATGCATTTCAGACCCTACTGGTCCTCCTTCTTCAGGGAAATTCAGTGAAAAGTGGAGCAAAATAGCTATCTTTTCTGTTTCTTAAGAGACAAGAGAGATAGAGCATCTGAATTCTGAATCACTGTTCTCTGAATTACACTGCAGAAGGAGGACTAGTAGGGTAGGAAATGCACCGGATCAATAAACCCGCTTTTTGTCTACTCCATTGTTTCTTTGATTCTCTTTCCAGTAGGTTTATGAAAACCCTTAGAAATGTTGTAGTATAAATCAGGTATAAATCAGGCCAGTTGGCTAAGTGAGGTTATAGAAAATGCTTGAAAGGTATTTTGGAAATTCTGTCTCTTGGTCATGCTGAACTTCCAGTATGTTTGATGTCACTGGCTATTCAGTGTTGTGTGGAATTAATGCAGTGCCACTAATGACTTCTCAAGAGAAGTATGGTCCCACGTGAAGAAACATATTCCAGGGCAGTGGCAGCCTCCACATTACACAGACCACAGAAGGGACTTTAAGCTTTATACTTTATACTTTAAGCCAACTTGTGTTTCTACAAAACTATGTGAGGGAAGAGAGTTGCCTAGGCCTTACCGAAATGTTGGCATGGAGTTTGATCAGGAAATGCTTCCGCTTGAAGCTCAATTTGCGAATTTTGGACCAGTTGAAGGTGTTAATCTTCGTATTGCCCTGCAGAGAAAAATAGACACACTTTGTGAGTTCCACAACATTTTGGACTAAGATGCCTGGATGGTGCAACACGGTCATTGTTTGCAGCCTGCAGTTCGTGTGGTGGAATAACTCTCCAGTGTTTGACAGTGAAAAATAAGAACATTTGGGGTTAACAGCATGCAAAAAGAGAAAAAAGGGGGATCCTTCACAATATTGTAGCAATATTCCCAAATAACAGCCTGTTTGGGGCTGTTCTTCCAAAATGGGGTTGGATGGATCAGTACATTTTGGTTCTTTTCCATTGTTCATTTTTCTAAAATTAAATTCATTTCACTGCACATATGAAGTGATTTTGAACATTTATTTTGCAAGTGAAAATTCATCAGCACTATATTGCAAATTTCTCCTAAGAAACGCATTTTTGTATGTAATTCTGACAAACTTGCCTGTCTAAGTAGAAGAGACTTTTGAGCCAGCAAAACCATTTCCTTTGTTAAGCTACTGGCATTGGCAGGCCAGTTAAGTACTGCTATTTACCATCTCCAAAGGCATTGCACTGTTGTGATAGAAACAAATGTGTGGGCCTTCCCCACCTCACCTGGCTACATGCCACCTCATCCTAAAGGAAGAACACCTGGCCAAGGGTTTCCGCTTATGTGTGAGTTTGGGGGCTGATGCTAGAAGCTGGAGACAGGAGGCATGTCTACTCTGTGCTGGCCCCAAGGCTGTGAACTTAGGGCTTCCCTGGAAACCTAAAGGGTAAAGATCTGTGTTCCATCCTATGCTCAGGTTGTATATAAGTGTAAATAAAAATGCATATCCTAAAGACACTCCAGAGAAGCGGACACAGAGCAATGGATCCAAACTACAAGAAAGAAGATTCCACCTAAACATTAGGAAGAACTTCCTGACAGTAAGAGCTGTTCGACAGTGGAATTTGCTGCCAAGGAGTGTGGTTGAGTCTCCGTCTTTGGAGGTCTTTAAGCAGAGGCTTGACAACCATATGTCAGGAGTGCTCTGATGGTGTTTCCTGCTTGGCAGGGGGTTGGACTCGATGGCCCTTGTGGTTTCTTCCAACTCTATGATTCTATGATTCTATGACACCACAGTCTCCTCTGACCTTCATTCAAAGGAAACTGAACCCTAGGTAAGCACAGGCACCCCTGGAGTCTCTCACTGCTCAGAGACCAGTGTGCATGCAATCCTATGTTCTCTGCCATTTCTTCTTGACCTGGGAAGGTTTAGGTCTCCTGAGCTTGAGAAAACTCTGATCTCTGCTGATATATAACACTGGGTGGATCGTGATTTCATTTTCTGGCTTCTTCCACAGTTGGAAGTGTGTCTGCCTGGGCCTTTCAGCGCCCACATTACACAGCAAACACCAACCAAACTATGTGTTTGCTCTGCAAATATGCTGTGGAGTCTTAGTACCACGTAATTGCCCCAAAATTAGGTGACTATTTTTGGCAGAAGATTATATGGTCAAGAGATGTCTAGCTACCATGTAATGCCAAGTTTTGACATTGGAGCATTTTGGTTTCCAGGGGGAGACAGAATTGGAGACGCCCACATCAAAGGGTGGTGGAGAAAGAGGCTGGCTCTTCTTTTAAACAGCAATGGCAGCAGGGTGAGCCCAGAGCAGCGAGAAGCTGAAGCACCACCCAAGATTCATCACTAATTTCTCCTTCCATGTTCAACAGGAAGCTAATACCATGAGCTGAACATGCAAGCAGGAAGCGTTTGATTAACGATACAAGCAACCTTGGCTGAATGGAACAGGCAACTGAATACTCATTATAGAAGGATTTGGGCCGTACAGAAGGGCACTGCATATATTTTTTTAAGCATCATATGAAGTGATGTGTGGAATCTCTGTTTTGAATTTGTTTTGACGTATTGCAGAAAAGCAGTGCTTCAGCAGCACTAAGGCACTTTGCTGTGGATGCTGTTAACAGTAGCAACTTTGCATTTACCTCCTGAAACATTGACAGGAGAAGCTTTTCTCCTTACCCGCAAAACCAGGACTCCCATGTGAGTGACAGCCAAATTGATCTGGGTCCCTTCACCGTCACTGGCTGGATGGGGCCTGATCCCATACATCTCTAGCTTCCTCACTATGTCCAAGAGCTGCACATCTGATTCAGCAGGAGTTTTGCCTCTAGAAAGAAAAGATTAGTATTCCAGCACCACCATCAAGTAAGGGCTCATCTAGGGGATTCTCCCCCGTCTCCACATTCAAATCCCCCATAGTCCAGATGTGTGGGGTGCTTTTCCTAACCATGAGTATCCTTGTAAAGTGTTGTTGTAGTCATTGATGATGATTAAATTTCTATACTGCCATTCATCTGAGGATCACAGGGCGGTTTACAAAATAAGAATACAGAAATATATATCATAATAACAAACAATAACAATACTCCCCACAGGGTTCTGTCTTGGGCCTGGTCTTATTCAACATCTTTATCAACGACTTGGATGATGGACTCAAGGGCATCCTGATCAAATTTGCAGATGACACCAAACTGGGAGGGGTGGCTAACACCCCAGAGGACAGGATCACACTTCAAAACGACCTTGACAGATTAGAGAACTGGGCCAAAACAAACAAGATGAACTTTAACAGGGAGAAATGTAAAGTACAGTGGTGCCCCGCAAGACGAATGCCTCGCAAGACGAAAAACTCGCTAGACGAAAGGGTTTTCCGTTTTTTGAGTCGTTCCGCAAGACGAATTTCCCTATGGGCTTGCTTCGCAAGACGAAACGTCTTGCGAGTTTGTTTCCTTTTTCTTAAAGCCGCTAAGCCGTTAATAGCCGCTAAGCCGCTAAGCCGTTAATAGCCACTAAGCCGCTAATAGCCGCTAAGCCGCTAATAGCCGTGCTTCGCAAGACAAAAAAACTGCAAGACGAAGAGACTCGCGGAACGGATTAATTTCGTCTTGCGAGGCACCACTGTATTGCACTTGGGCAAAAAAAAATGAGAGGCACAAATACAAGATGGGTGACACCTGGCTTGAGAGCAGTACATGTGAAAAGGATCTAGGAGTCTTGGTTGACCACAAACTTGACATGAGCCAATAGTGTGACACGGCAGCTAAAAAAGCCAATGCAATTCTGGGCTGCATCATAGGAGTATAGCATCTAGATCAAGGGAAGTAATAGTGCCACTGTATTCTGCTCTGGTCAGACCTCACCTGGAGTACTGTGTCCAGTTCTGGGCACCACAGTTCAGGAAGGACACTGACAAACTTGGAACGTGTCCAGAGGAGGGCAACCAAAATGGTCAAAGGCCTGGAAACGATGCCTTATGAGGAACGGCTAAGGGAGCTGGGCATGTTTAGCCTGGAGAAGAGGAGGTTAAGGGGTGATATGATAGCCATGTTCAAATATATAAAAGGATGTCATATAGAGGAGGGAGAAAGGTTGTTTTCTGCTGCTCCAGAGAAGCGGACACGGAGCAATGGATCCAAACTACAAGAAAGAAGATTCCACCTAAACATTAGGAAGAACTTCCTGACAGTAAGAGCTGTTTGACAGTGGAATTTGCTGCCAAGGAGTGTGGTGGAGTCTCCTTCTTTGGAGGTCTTTAAGCAGAGGCTTGACAACCATATGTCAGGAGTGCTCTGATGGTGTTTCCTGCTTGGCAGGGGGTTGGACTCGATGGCCCTTGTGGTCTATTCCAACTCTATGATTCCCCACCACATTTTTGGCTTCTATGGAAGCCGCCCAGAGTGGCTGGGGAAACCCAGCCAGATGGGCGGGGAACAAATAATAAATTATTATTATTATCACAGTTCAAAAGGCTACAGATAGTTTAATTAGCCAAAGGCCTAGGAGAAGAGGAAGGTTTTTGCCTTGTGCTTAAAGATACATAATGAAGGCGTCAGGCGAGCCTCCCTGGGGGAGAGCATGCCACGAACAGGGAGCCACTGCAGAAAAGGCCCCTTCTTGTGTTGCCACCCTCCAGACCTCTCGTGGAGGAAGCACACCAAAAAGGGCCTCAGATGATGATCGCAGGGTCTGGGGTGGCTGTCAGATTTGGACAGCAGACCTGGGTTCAAATCACCACTTGGCCTGTGAAGCTTAGTTGGAGACATTGGGTCAGTAACCCTCTCTCAGATTAACCCAGGCTGGTGGTGTGGATAAATGAACACCACCATGAACATCACGGTGGAAATGTCAGACCTAAATGTGGGGAAGAACAACCATCATCTCAACAACATTATGAAATGTAAAAACAAAACATCATTAAAGAACATCTCAGACTGCTGCTTTGATAGAAGAAAACACTTGATTGGCAAATATTCTGCAGAAGGAACAGAACAGGAGATAAACACCATACAACTCCCTGAGAATCTCTGTTTTGTTTTGTTTCTCGTGTGTAGAGCTAGAAACTCACAGGGGCACACAAATAGTGTTTGCTGAGATTTCAGAAACCAAGAAAATAGTTGAATAAGGTTTGTAGTGCTTGAAGGGGAGGACAGCTGCAGAATTCATTTGCCTAACTTAGACAATTTGTAGTATCCACATTTTCTTACACAGAATTTAAGTGCAGAAAACAGCAGCCATAGTGCTGCTTCCAGGTTCTGTTCTGCCAAAGGTGAAAGTGACAAGTAGTTAAAAAACAAGGACTTACATATGTTTCTTGTGGTAATGCATGATCTTGTTCACCAAACACTCTTGGTTTAGTAAATATTTGTGCGTTTCCAGGTGCTTTTGATCCATTTCTTCATGATAATCTCCCAGGGCCGCTGCAATGTGAAACCATATAAACTTAGGCTGCATACACACTAACTAGTTTATAGCACAAAAACATAGCTTGTCTCAATCTGGAATCGTTCATGCTCGTCCTCATCATGCGGCTGTCCACCTGGGTGGTTGTGGTTGCTTGATGTGCGCTTGAAGACCCATGCCATTTCCTCTTTCCACATGCCCCAGGTGTGGAAGGAAGGAAGAAGGAAGTGGCAATTGCAGTCTTGGACTATGCCCACCCACAATGCCGTTGGGCAGGTGTGAATATGTCTCCCATTGCAGGGATTGCCAACATCTGCTTTCAAAATGGCATAATGCAGAATCAATCTACAATGAGCTTTTCTTTTCAAAATGAAACTGGCTTCTCAAGAAGCACTTTTTAGTTGCAAAAATATATGCAATGAATTTAGATGATATGCAGACTACATGGAAGAAAGCAAGTGCTGCATCTTTGGAAGACCCTCAGTCACAGAGTCTACAGGCTTGTTGGAACTTTTTTTTTTTAACCCTAAACAACCAACCAGACCCAAGAAAGACAGTGGCTGGGCCTGGAACAAAATGCAAAATTGTGGTTCGGGATGTCAATTTCAGTTTCTCATTTTAGTTCAGTTCTCTACATTTTCGTATTAGCTTGCAAAGCTTTTTTTTTTTTTTAAGTCCTAATGAAAATTAATCTGCCTCTTAATCCAAACTCCTCCTGGTATACACATTTACTCTGATATATACATTTTTGCAAGCATATCTGTTTGTTATTTTCATTAATGCATGCCTCCTTATGCACACTTTCTCCTGCTATACATACTTTGGGGCACATTATTTGGTTGGAGAACAGTCTCACAAAATTCAGTGAAGCGCAAATTGCAAAGGTCAGCAGCTTTTCCATCCACATATTGTTTCAGAAGCTGCGAAGAGGAATTTTGACATGTTCAGCTTGCCATGCAAGGCTGAGAAAAGCTGACTGGCTCACATTTTACTCAACATTTGCAGGTTCAAGACCCCTGTGGAAACTTTTGCATTTTGCCAACCTCGTATAAACTTCTAACTGATGTCCAGGCCAATGCTGTACGTACACTGCAAAAGGTGTGATACCATCAGGGCCGAGCTGTTATCGCTGCAAGGCAGTCTTCCACAGGCCAGATCCTTCTTGATTTGGAGAGTGAACAGGTATCTAAAAACCGTTTCAGAGATGTTACTGATAGGAAGATGATCCTCAAAATTTCCCTGCCCCACAGGAAATGTGAGGGTAAGACCCTTTTCTAGTGGTCATGTGCCAAAACACACAAATACATACATGCATCAACCCCTGTTTATCTTGACTAAAACAATTCTGCAATTTATCAGGCATCATTCTGTATTCGTTAGATTCTACAGATTCTGTATTCGTTAGATTCTACAGACTATGGGTCCATCTAGGTAACACAGGAAGTACAGTCATACCTCGGGTTAAAGACGCTTCAGGTTGAGCGTTTTCAGGTTGCGTTCTCCAGCAACCCAGAAGTAATGGAATGGGTTACTTCTGGGTTTCACCGCTCGCGCATGTGTAGATGCTCAAAATGACGTCACACGCATGCGCAGAAGTGGCGAATCACGACCCATGCACGCGCAGACGCAGATTGTGTTCTGCTCAGGATGCGAATGGGGCTCTGGAACGGATCCCGTTTGCATCCAGAGGTACCACTGTAGCTCTGTGCCAGACGACAAATGGGTGGGGGCCCCTCCCTCAGCTCGCTGGGAGCTGGAAAGACAAAAGCCAGGGTGTGTTATGTGAGCTAAAAGCTGGAGACAAGGCAGCAGGCTGGGAAGGCAGAGAGTCAGAGCCATGCTTGATTTCCGCTTTAATCCAAGGGTGTGGCTATAGGAGAAGCAAGACCCTCTTGGAGTGTTAAATGCTTTGAGCCCCTCTATGGTAGACTCAGGTTGCATATATGTGTAAATAAACCATATATCATAAAGACACCACAGTCTCTCATTCCAAAGGAAACTGAACCCTGGGCAAGTGCCTGGAACTCCTGGAATCTTGCACGGCTCTGAGATTGGGATGGCAGGCGACAATATCAACCTGAACAACACGTCATCAGTAGAACCATGGTGACCAGTTTACAGGCCTTCAGGAACAGAAGATCTAATTTGTTTAGTTTTTCTTAGATTCATGTGCAAGATTAAAAGGAGGATTCTCAAAGTATTCAGTACAAGTGTATCTGCATAAATTTGTTTATTGTCAATTGTTTATCTGGGAAGACAGAATGGGCAAGGGAGTTAGTTATCCGTACCACTTAAGCCTTGTCTCTGAATGGCTGCACATCCTGGTTAACTGCTTTGCCCCTCCCATCCAGCTTCTGCAGTCTCATTGGTTGCTGTGCACTCTTTCAAACCTATCTTCAATATCTTATGGGCTAGAACCTTGGATTTCTCTTTAAATGAAAGCTAAGAATCCTGCAGGATGCTGAACCCAATGCCTAGTCCCAGTTTCTGACTACTTGTTGTGCAATTGTGAAGCACAGATATGGCCCCCTTCCTGTGTAGGGGTTTGGGTCAGTGCATTCAAAGTCCTCTGTTGATTTTTACTGCACCTTTTACCAAGTTTCTATACTTTAAGGACACTTGTGCTCATGGGGAGCAAAAATGCATGTAAAAGCCATTTCCAATAAAATTGTGATAGCCATTGCAATACAATGGGCACCATCCACGAGAAACTATGCTTATGCAAGCAGTTCCAAGTGTCCTGAAAACAGTAGTTATACTGATAGCAGCCAGTATGGTTTAGTGGTTAGAGTGTTGGACTAAGACCCTGGAGACAAGGGTTCAGATCCCCACCCAGTTATGAGGCCTTGAGCAACCTGGAGGAAATGTCGGATGTAAATATAATAAATCATTTTAATAATAAATAAATATTATCATCACCATAGCTTCGTTGTCTCAAATGCAACAATACCTAGATGGGTATATATAGATATAAAATGAACAATGCAGTTATGTATTATTTAGACAATGCTCTCCAGATGTTTTGGATTACAAGTCCCATCAGCTCCAGCCTGCCTTGCTGTACACAGGCTGGGGCTGGTCTGAGTTGCGGTCAAAAACATATGAAGGGGGCCAGGTTGGTAAAGGCTGATTTAGTGCTTTTGCGCAGCGTTCAAAACTCCCATTGTTCTAGGTGTGTTTTGCGACAAGGTATTTCATTAGCGCAAGCAGTTTCTGAGCTCTGGACACAGTAATGCACCAAAGAGATTTCAGATTAAAATTGCAGAGTGGAAGGAAAGGAGGACCTTTTTCTGCCTCCCCACTTCCAGCCACTCTCTGAAGACTGGAGAAAAGGCCCTCTTAAGAATATTAGGGGGGTAGGCAGGGGAAGCATAGCTTTGTTTTTTTGCTGTCTTCAGATGTGAAAAGTGAACATAATATTTTAGCTGCAGTTCATTCATTTTCACCTTTTATTCTTGTTATCAAAAAAGTACGCCTAGACATTCTGTTGTTGTGCCCATAACCCAGGTTTAAGGTGTCATTTAGCTCCTAGCTTTCATACCTCAAACACTGCTTTTGCCAGTTACATAGGAGGTCAGGGAAAGGAATGTTTCGAATTATTTTAAGCATTTAATGAAACCCCCATTCATAAAAACCCTAAATGAAATTATTTCTAAATGAAACAAATGCAAAAACAAAACCAAGAGGCTGTGTAAAAATAAACCATACCTTGTCAGCTCTTCTCTCAGATGGCCCGGATCCACTGGGAAAAATTTCACCATAAATTTGAAAAGAACCTCCTTAGGATCTTAAAACACAACATCTTCATAAGTTTGGTTTCAAAGGTCTGTCGGGAACATTTACAAATCTCTTCATTTGCACACAGCCTGCAGAATTAGCTTTTCTGAACGCTCTAGACAAGATGGAGACTAACTGTCCATCATCCCCATGTGCTGCACTGATTCCCCCATGGTTCTAAAATGCTACATCCAGGCATGGGAGACGCCTGATCTGAGACAGAAATGAGGAACCTCTGGCCTCCATCCAGTGGGACATAGTGGTTAGCATTTTGGACTGTGACCTGGGAGACCCGTGCTGAGACCCCCCCCCCCAGCCATGAAGGTCACTAGGTGACCTTGGACCAGCAACTCTCTCTCAGCCTAACCTACCTCACAGGGTTGTTGTGAGCTCTTTGGAGGAAAAGGTGGGATATAAATGCAACAGGTAAATAAATGAAACCACCCCCATGTTGTCTGCAGAGGCAGCTGGGAGTTGGGGTCCAGCAACATCTAGAAAGCCACAGGTTCCCCAGTCTTGGCCTATGGAAACATTTCATGCCCAGAAAACAAAGTGACTATCAGATCTGGGCGCAACCAGAGACACATGGAAGATGCCTGCTGCAGATCCATCACTGTTTTAAAAAAGTCTAGTGTAGCTGCCCAGCCGCCAGGGTGAGGCAAATGCCTCAGGGGCAGCCGATCCCGATGTGAATCTTTATACAGGCAAGATCTTTATACACACATGAGGCAAGATAAGGCAGATGCCTCAGGCGGCAGGGTTTACTGGGCAGCCAATCCCAATGTCAATCTTTGTCTCTCCCCTGCACCCTGTTCCTGATGTAGATCTTCCCTCACCCCTTCTTCCTTGGCAAAAGGGGCTGGGGACACCATTTTGTGGTTCACCTCAGGTGCCCAAGTGTCTTGAGCCAGCTTTGCCAACCACCCAACAGCATTAGAGTTAGGGGGTTTCTCCATATTATATATTTTGGTAATGTTTCATGCTCCCCTCCCACAGCTGCAATTCTGCAGAGTGGTTTAACAATCAATCCCTCTTCACAGGGAACTCTGGGAATTGCAGCTTTGGGAGGGGAGTAGGAGCCTCCTAATGCACCCTCAACAAAGTGCAGCTCCCCAGATTCTGTGGAGGAAGACATGGCTGTTTAAAGTGGTATCATAGTGCTTTAAAATGTATGTTGTGGGTGTGGCCTCGGTGTCATTGATGGGGAGAGGAGAAGGTGAGCCAGAAGAGCCCTGGATCAGTGCTCCATCTCCCTGCCATCCCTTGAGTGTTGCTTTAGAAAAGTATTTTAAAAAGATATGCATAGATAACAAAAATACTTACTTTTAATCTGCTTTGTTATAGGCTTCAGAAGTTCCAGCCAGGCCTGTAGGAAGACAAAAGTGCAGCATAAAAGATATTGGGCTGATCCTGACCATCCAGGGCTGTGTACATACAATACATTTAAAGCACATGGCTTCCACCAGAGAATCCTGGGAACCGTAGTTTGTTAAGGGTGCTGGGAATTCTTGGTTCGTGAGGAGTGAATTACAGTTCCCTGGATTCTTGGTGGGATGTGTGATTTAAATGTGCTTTAACTGTATATTGTGTACACATCTACATATATTGTAAGTTCACTACATATATTGAAGTTCACTCCTAACAGAGCTACAATTCCCAGCACCTGTAACAAACTAGAGTTCCCAGGGTTCTTGGGTGGGTGTGCTTTTAAATGTATGGTGTTTACACAGCTGTAACAACAGTGCCCTCCCTGCAAATGGAACAGAAATGCTTCAGGAAGGTAGCCTCTGGCTATGCTGGTTGTCTAGTTTCAGCTATATTTTAACAGAGCTTTAAAAAATTTTTTAAGCCATCTTTGCACTTGATTGTGAAGTGGTACAGTCTGTCCAACCACATCAGGACTCTACCATCTCATTCTGCTGCATGCATAGACTCATCAGCCCCTGGCAGCTGAAGAACAATGCAGCCCAGTTAATCAGCTTCCTGATGGATATCCTTGAGTGATGCTCCTTGAATGGCTTCTGAGGAGGAAAAACAGCCTTTCAGCAGACAGGCAGAGACTCACTGCTTTTGCTCCTTATAAATGCAGAGCCCTGTTTTTACCCGCACTGCACTCCAGCAAGTTAATGAAGCAAAGAGAAGTCAATGGCCTCCATTGTTGTCTTTATGATGCAGAGCTGGACCACTGATGCTCTGAGCCACTTAAATTCCCTGCTTCTCCCTCTCCGCCTCCAAACCTGGATTTCCCTTCTGGAGACTGGGGTCTGTTTGGCTGAGACAGAATTTTCACCAGTGGGAAAGAAAAGGGAGCAAAAACAACACAGCCTTGGCTCCTTGTGTGCATCTTTCTTTGTGTGGCTGGGGAGCCATTTCAAATGGAGTACACTTTAAATAGCTCTGCTTAGAAAGCAAAGAGGCCAGGCAGAGCCTCCCCCATCCACAAAGTCGATTGTACCTCCGGCGCTGATTCCAAAAGAAGCACACTTAGGAAGGCTAGCAGAAAGCTTGTGTTTATGTATGTTAAAACAACAACATCACACCCTCCAACATTTCTCTGATGAAAATAGGGACACCCTATATTATTATTATTATTATTATTATTATTACTAATACCCTGCCCATCTAACTCTGACTGGGCCGCTTCCAACATATATAAAGACATAATAAAACATGAAACATTTTAAAACTTCCCTATACAGGGCTGCCTTCAGATGCCTCAGGGCTGGGATAATGTATTCCCCACTCAGCGTGTTGGCCCCATATGGTTTGCAGTGGCGACCCTTGGAAGCTGTAGGATTACCGTATTTTTCGCACCATAGGACGCAGTTTTTCCGTCTTAAAAACTAAGGGGAAATGTGTGTGCGTCCTATGGAGCGAATGCAGGCTCCCTGGCTTCAGCGATAGCAAGGCAAAGCCTCCGAAGCCTGCGCTCCGGAGGCTTCCCGTTGCTTCCGCTGAAGCCAGGAGAGTCTGCTCTTTGAGGCTGGCGGGGGGAAAGCAGCGCTTCCCCCATCGCCAGCCCCAGAGGATGGGGGGCAGCAGGAAGGCGCGCGACGCCTTCCCGCTGCTCTCCAACCCTCCTGTGGGCTTTTGCGGGAGATGGGGGAATTCCCCCACCTCCCGCAAAAGCAGGCAAAAGCTGTGCGCTCTTTAAAGGGGCTGCACGGCTTTGCTGGCTTCTCTAGGAGGTGGGGGGATTCCCCCACCTCGCAGAAAAGCCTGCAAGAGCCGCGCAGCCTTTACAGAGCGCGCAGCTCTTGGGGGCTTTTCCCCAAGGAGGGAGAAGGGACTGACTGGCCGAGTCAGTCCCTTCTCCCTCCTGCGGACTTTTGCGGGAGATGGGGGAATTCCCCCACCTCCCGCAAAAGCAGGGAGAAGGTCTTGGAGTAGCGCACAGGCTGCGTGCAGCCTGTCCACTGCTCCCAGAGCTGGGGGGGGGGAATCATATTTTTTCCTTGATTTCCCCCCCTGAAAACTAGGTGCGTCCTATGGTCCGGTGCGTCCAATCCTGCGAAAAATACGGTACTTCGGAGGTGCTAAGAGGCAGCTGAGGAGCTGGCTGGAGGTGTAAAGGGAAATCAATCAGCCTTTGAAAAGCTGGCGTCAGTGGATCAAATTCATCAATTTTGTTGAATTGATTAAACAAAACGTTTTTGATTGGATTTTGAGTGAATGTGCATTAATTGTTACTGTTTTGAATTTAATGGTATTATTCGTTTTCTTAGTGGGTTGTGCAAACCACTATTCTAATTAAGGTTTTGCATAGAGCAGGGGGTGCTGGGGATGAGCTTATGGAACGAAGTGGGCATTGGCCTCAAAAAGCACGGGAATCACTGCTTTAGGTTTTCATTTTTAACTTTCCGGAACTGACGGCTTCAAAAACAGCATGTTCTGAAAATCTGTCAATCCTCTTATGAAATTTAATAATGTGCCATTTGGTTCACAGCCCTGTGGAATGGCTTTGGAATCCTTTGGCGGGGGGTGGAGGTGGCTCTCAATGTGGAGGCATGGGGGAGGGAGGCATTCACTTCCCCATAACAAGAAGAATCAATTACTCAAAGTAAGGAGACATGCATTTCCTTTTCTTGCACTGTTTATGGAGGTTGCAGAATTCAGCAGTTGAGAGCACAGAATTTTCAGTAACCCTTGCATGACTGCACATGCTAGTTTCCCAACATTTCATTTCATTTCAGTGGAGGGGTATTCAGTCAGCACCTGAAGTGGTACCACTGAGCACCTCATATACAATCTGCCTTCAGTGACACCCCTATAAGTTGATTCAAAATGCCTTCACTTACAGTATGCCCTGCAGAACTCCAGAACTCCAGCCCAAAGTATTCCTTCTCTGTGAGGTTCAGGTGGCTGCAGCTTAGGCTGAACAATGTTTTGCCAGAAGATTTTTGCTATTGGAAGGGAAAGAGGGGGGGGGGCAGCGAGGTAAACAACACAGAGATCAAGAAGATTAACAATATTGTTTCAGTACAGTAAATAAGGAACTTTTGTTTGTTTTATTTATTTTCCACTTTTCCTTCAAGCTCAGTGTTCATGGTTCTCTAGGCCTTCCCAATTCATGAAGTAGGTTAGGCTAAGAAACAGGGACGGGACCAAAGTCACCTAGTGGGCTTTATGGCTCTGAGTCTCACAGGTCCAACCAATTCTTTTTTTTAAAAAAGAAATAATTTTAATCCATTTTTGTTTAAACATAAAGAAACACCTTATGCGTAATTTGTTATAGGGCACTTAGCTGGAGCCCAGAAATTCCTGTTCCACTTATGCAACCACAACCTGCAGCCCTAGAAGTCTCTATTACACAAAGCAGAAGTTCTTTCCCTGTTCTCCTTAAACGGGAAAGAAGACTCTGCTTGTGTGTCCTTTGAACAGTGACGTAGCGTGGGTTGTCAGCACCCGGGGCAAGGCAAGTAATTTGCGCCCCCTAACCCGTGGATTTGCGCCCCCTAACCCTAACCCCCAGATGTTGCGCCCGGTGCGGCCGGCCCCCCTGCACCCCCCACGCTACGCCACTGCCTTTGAATCCTCCTTTTGAACCTAACACAGTTAACATACTTTAATTCCTGGACCAAAGAGTCAAGATCTGAAAGGGAGCAGTTGTGCAGAGAGAAACATTCATCACCACCTCAGGTCAGAAGATGTTTGCGGCTGAGATGCAGGAATGCCTGGAACAGCACCTTCCCTAACACAAACCACCTCAAACTCTGCAATTGGCCGCTGAGGCCTTGTTGGTGGTGACCCATGAAAGGGCCTTCTCAGTGGTGACTCCTTGGGTGTGGAATGCTCTCCCTAGCAAGGCTTACCTGTCTCCATCATTATTAATATTCAAGATGTACTTGAAAACAGTATTTGAATACTGTTCCTGGCTACCCTAAGATCATTGGATAGAATCATTTTTTAAAAAACTGTTCTAGAATGCTTGCAACTGAGTTTAGATGTTTTTAATTGTAATTTTTAAAATATAATGTTTTAACCATTCTAGAAAGATTTTGCTTTTTAATTTTTTTTGTGAATTTGTTTGCCATCCTCAGCTTCTTCAGAAGGGCAGGATATAAATTCAATACATAAATAACAAACCCTCCAACATTTCTCCGATGAAAATAGGGATGTCCCATTCCCTAATGATAATTTTACTATTTATACCCCACCCATCTCACTGGGTTGCCCCAGCCACTCTGGGAAACTTCCAACATATATAAAAACATAATATAATATTAAACATTTAAAAAACCCTTCCCTATACAGAATTGCCTTCAGACAACTTGGGGATGGATAACATTTCTCCAGTGGGACATCCTAAGGAAAAGGGGGACATTCTGGGATCAAATCAGAAACTGGGACAACTTCTTTAAATCAGGGATGTCCCTGGAAAATAGGGACACTTGGAGGGTCTGAAATAAGATGTTCTGTAGTTAACTCCATATAATTTTGGCTCTTATTTCTTGATTATCAGACCAGGGATGGGTGGGATAAATCAGTTTTGGTTTGCATTTTGACACAAGTGTCTCTAATTCATGCACCCTGAAATAATTTTTTAAAATATTTTATTCAATATTTTTGAATTTTTTAAACAATCATACAGATTAATTAGATTTCCCAATAAAAATATAATTTGACTTCCATCCCACCCCCCTTCTGTGGTTTCTTGTTTTAATTTTCAATACTGCATCTCCCACTTAGTTTCATTTATTAGTTATTCTCTATGTTTTCCTTAACCGCTTGTTTTAGATTAATCCTGCTAATGAACTTAGTTGTTAACAATAATTTTCCAAATAATCTACAAATCCCTGAAACAATTAGCAAACTGAAACATAGACTTTGTTTCGAAACTTAGGTAAAGGTAAAGGGACCCCTGACCAGTCGTGACCGACTCTGGGGTTGCGGCGCTCATCTATTGGCTGAGGGAGCCAGCGTACAGTTTCCGGGTCATGTGGCCAGCATGACTAAGCCACTTCTGGCAAACCAGAGCAGCGCACAGAAACGCCGTTTACCTTCCCGCCGGAGCAGTACCTATTTATCTACTTGCGCTTTGACGTGCTTTCGAACTGCTAGGTTGGTAGGAGCAGGGACTGAGCAATGGGAGCTCACCCCGTTGCGGGGATTCGAACTGCCGACCTTCTCATGGGCAAGGCCTAGACTCTGTGGTTTAACCCACAGCGCCACCCGCGTCCCTTCGAAACTTACACTTCTTCAAATTTGCAATGAAGCTCTCCATTGGAGTCCAAGTAAACCCATTAAAACAAATGAACATGGTTTAGAGCCTTAGATCATTTCAGCTGAACTACCTTTGGTAGAGCTTATCTTTGAAGATGCTCAAACTCAGGACGCAAGGGAGAAACGTGCTAAGAGGAAGGCGTGCTTGGCAAATCTGCCCAGAAACCAATGTCCCCACTGTGGAAGGTCGTGTGGATCCAGAATTGGCCTCCACAGTCACTTACAGACTCACTGTTAAAACCGTCTTTATGGAAGACAATCTAACTCGGCTACAAGTGATTGCCAAAGAAGAAGAAGAAAGGAAAATGCATACATGAATGCATATTTTAAGGGAAACTATATGATGATATTAGTGGAAATAATGTATAAAGACATAATTATATTAGGGAAAATTGCAAGCAGAATTGTGAATGTTAGCAGAAATATACACTAAGACGCTGGTGAATTTTCAACAGAATTCTTTTGTTAAAATATGCCAATGCAGAACCAAGCTTATGTGAAAAATGATAAAGCAAAGTTTCCGCAGATCCATCCATCTTTATATCAACACCCCCACAAAGAATGGCAATCTATTTTTTACTTTCAAAAGCAGTTGGTGACATGGCCTGATTTAGGACTGTGGTGTTGGTGAAGAATATTTGCTCAGAGAAATGAAATCCCACTTTGAGCAGCCCTTAGGAAGCATTTTTTAAAATAGCAAATTTAATTAAAAAACCAAGCACGTCACCAGGGTTGCCCCCTCCCCATCTTCCAAACTGACTCAGAGAAGCACTTCCTAACTGGTCAAACAGGTTCAAGCATTCATTGTCAGTTGCCTTTTTAATTAAATTTTAATTAAGTTCCATCCCACCTACCCTGGCGGGCCTAAACCCCTTCCCACAAGGACATCGTGTTGCAGAAAACAATTTGAAGACAGGGAGCTTTCCAAAAAGGCTACTGCAGAGTCTCAAGTGTCTTCATTTCCACTGAGCTTTGGAAAAAATATCTGCTGATGTAAAGCTTTTGTTTCTGAAAGATGATGGTAGCCTGAATTACGCAAGCATTTGGTTGTAGTCAAGTTGTCTTGACATTTTTAGTACAGCATGACCTGCATTTGGGCACTCATGAAGCTATGCCTATTAATTTCGTGATTTGAGTCAGATGAGCATAGGATGCAACCACCTGGTACCAAGGACTGAGTCGGTCATGTGGTCATTGCCCACAATGCACTGATATAATAAGGCCGGACGGGATGGGCTTTATTTTTTCAGCTGATCATAGCCTGCCAAAAAGCTACAGCTGGTGTAAAATTGTGTTTACTTGAATGATTTACCGGGTTGCATTCTTGAGGTCACTTGATGCTGAAAGCTGGGATAGTCATTGTACAAATCAATAAATCAATGCAACATTTGTTATTGCTAACGATAATGCTTGGAACTCTGCTCTGATGCTCACTTCATTGAGGTCTGGACTGGCTTCTGGCATACACCAATGAGGCTGGCAAGAACACCAATGCAATTTGCACATATTAATTAAGCTGCATGGTCCTTGATGAGCAAGGGTAATTAAGCATCATTAAGCTAGAAGAACAGAGCTATTAAAAAGCTGATTGCTCAAGATTTCCAAGCAATTTTAATGGCGATGATGGGAGCTGCACTAGATGTTTGAATCGTCAGCTGAGCAGGGAAAAGGGCAAGTTCCATGCATCAAACAAACCCTGAATGCATCCAGACAAGATGGGGAAGAAAGAAGGATGCACTGCTAAAACACAAAAATGCAATTATGATTGGAGGATGATGCTGCTGTTTATCTGTACCCTTCTCTTCTTCTGCAAAGAGCCTAGGGCAGCAAACAGAACACTATCTAGAAACTATCTAGAATGCAAAAACATTCTAAAACAGACAAAACATTCTAAAAACAATTAGAATTAAAAACCTCTAAAAGCACTGCGATTTGAAACATTATTCCATCCTATTGTCTTAAGGTTGCTAGGAACAATATTCTTCAGCCACCAAGGGCCTGGGGGAAGAGTATTTCAAAATTCCTCCTGAAAGCAACAATGAAGACAAGCAAGCCTTGCTAGCGAAAGCAGCCCACAAATGGGGAGCCACCACTGGAAGTGCTCTGCAATGCTGATGGAAATTTTCATTTACAAATCACTTTTTATGAAGTGCCCTAAAGCTATTTCATAATACCTAACATCATATGTAAAGCAACTGCAAATATAACAAGACAGTTGCATCAATCAAAGCAGCTTCGTAGTCAGAACAGATGACATAGACTGACAGACAGACGTCATTTTGTTTGTATGCCGCTTTTCCACAGTTCAAACCATGCTCAAGATACCAGCTGGGATTTCTCCTTAGGAGCTGAAGAAGGTGCTGAAAAGACAATGGAAGCTGCGCCTGAATGACCTGTAACTGGAGGGAGATCCAAATGGCAAATGCTGGCCCACCACACAAATGGCCCAGTTTCAGGATTATGCAAGACAGCCAGCCTAATAAAATGGGATCCGAGGGATGCCATCTGCTGCACTGAGTTCCAAATGCAACTTACTTTTTCACCTCTTGCTTTTTCCCTGCTTCTTGACGTTAACTAAAATGGGAGGATTTTGTATGTGCAAGAAAGGTGATGGATAAACCTTAATTCAAATTACTTATTCCATAAACTTTACATACTGCTTGACTGTAAAAATAAATAAATCTCAAAGCGGTTTACAAAAAAAAAAAAAATACAATGAAATCATCAGTTAAAAAAACAGTTGAAAAGAACATTTTAAAGCCTTTAGAAAAAAATAAAAATAAAATCAACGATAAGCAAAACACCAGATTAAAACATGTGTCGACTCTCCCTGGGCTGGATAGGATTGCTTTAGCAAAAATGTTTTAAGCAGGTGTCGGAAGGAGTACAGTGAAGGTGGTTCCTGGTGTCAATGGGTAAGAAGCTCCAAAATGTGGGGGCTCCCACATTGAAACATTAATTCATTACAAATGGGGAATGAGTCTTACGTAACAGCGCCAGTTACTGTTAGGCACTGGGACTTTTGCTTTGTTTGGGGACACAAAGGAGCCCCAAACCCCATGGCACAGCAGCCCCTCTGCTAGGAAGACTGCAGCTGGCAAGTGTCCAGAGGCACCTGTCATTGTGACTTTGGCTTCAGAGGAAATTGAGGGGTTGCTTACACACCGCAGGTCGTGCTCAGCGTGGAACATGCACGCTAACATTTTTAGATAATCCCTTGCACACAACGACCTTAAAATTACTACCCCGGTGGAGGAAGGCAGCTGGAAAATGACAGGATAATAACAGCATTCTCTCTGGGGCTGTCCCGGTTCCCTTCCAAACGGCTGGATCACAGCAGTAATTAAAACAATTATCACTGTTTATTCCTCCTGCACTAGAATATTGGGGCACTGGCTCCCAGAGGAACAGAGTCGGAGATCAGCACTTGCTGTTTCCTCACAAGAGAGTCTCTTGCTGTGATCTAATTGGGATGAGATAGGGCCCACCCGGGGAATCTGGTGCAGGCGCTTCCTTTCCCGTGCAAGGGAACGGAGAATCTTTGCACTGTGGCCGGAGGGGAGTGCCATTTTCTGTTTCGTCTCAGGCGGCAAAATGTCTTGGGCTTGGCCTGGTGACCAAGAAGAAGGTGAGTTGCTAAGCAAGACAGTCAAAATATTTGCACCATCCAAGGTTGTATTTATTTATTCAAAACATTTATATACTTCTCAGCCATTAGCACTTCTAAACATACAATAAAAATTCAATATTCAACACTACCTTAGAACGCCTGCTGGAACAAAAAAAAGTCATGCAACAGTGGGCTGCCTGCCTTAATCACAGGCAGGAGGGAGTTCCACAGGTTTTGGCCCACGGTAATGAATCCAGTCTCTAGCAGTTACGAGCCCTGCATCTGAGCCATCCCCTGAGGTCCTCAGGCTGGGATATGAGGGATATATTACTTGGCCGTTGCCAGTTCTTAGCTTTCCCTGTGGACTCCTGGCTGTGGGAGGCTGGAGTCTTAGCCAGGCTGCATTCAGGCACAGTGAATTAACTTGGCATGATGATCCCTTAAGTGCCCCCTCTCTCCTCCCCCTCCCACACTTCCTATGATCTAGGGAAATGCTGCATGTGGCAGGTCTGCATTAAGAGCCCTGCTAGCAATGGCTGTTAACCAGGATGGCTTTGTTCCACCTCCATAGCTGGAGTCAGTATTGCTTCTGAACAGCAGGAAGCCACAGGAGGGGAGAGTTGCTCTTCTGCTCGGGTCCAAAAGAGGCATCTGGTTGGCCACTGTGAGAACAGGATGCTGGACTAGATGTGCCATTGGCCGGATTCAGCAGCAGGCTCTTCTTGTGCTGTATATAATCCTGTTTAACAAACCAATTACACCCTCAGTGTCTGCGGCAGCCAACATGTTGCCACACTTTCATGATATAAGGTAAAGGGACCCCTGACCATTAGGTCCAGTCGTGCCCAACTCTGGGGTTGTGCGCTCATCTCGCTCTATAGGCCGAGGGAGCTGGCGTTTATCTGCAGACAGATTCCGGGTCATGTGGCCAGCATGACTAAGCCACTTCTGGTGAACCAGAGCAGCGCACGGAAACGCCGTTTACCTTCCCGCCAAAGCGGTACCTATTTATCTACTTGCACATGACGTGATTTCGAACTGCTAGGTTGGCAGGAGCTGGGACCGAGCAACGGGAGCTCACCCCGTCACGGGGATTCGAACCGCCGACTTTCTGATTGGTGAGTCCTAGGCTCTGTGGTTTAACCCACAGCGCCACCCATGTCCCTTTCATGATATACATGCATAATAATTTATTGTGAAGCTTCCGCAAATGAGGTCCCGGCTGTGATGAGGAGATCTGATTTTCCTGCTGGGGATATTTTGCCAGGATATTTTGCCACTGACAAAATTTGCTCCTTGCCCCTATCCCAGCCTCCACATTCATCATGAATGCGGGTGCAGTCCAAAGGTGCAGGTAGCACAATCATTATGGACATCTATTGACCAGTGCCTGAGCCATCACTAGTGATGACCCTCAGGATCTCTTCCAACTCTACATTTCCATTATTTCATCTATGATTTAATATGAAATACAAGTAACTTTTAATCCCTGCCATGCCATTTGAGAAACTTTATTTACTTGTACTTACTTACTTACTTACTTACTTTCAAGCTTCTTTAGAGGGCACAACTCCACCATGTAAGCAACCCTCTATCATTTTCATAAAGTAGACAAATAAGTGAGTGGGGACCATTAAAAAAAACTTTCCCCAAAACCTTCTGTATAGCTGCTGAGACCCAGTTAAGAATAACTGGGACCCAGTTAAGACTCCTCACTTGAAGTCAGACACTTGGTCCATCTTGTGGCTGTTCAGAGATTAACCTGGAGATATTGGGGATTGGACCTGAAACTATCTGCTTGCAAAGCAGAAGACAGTAGCACTGAACCAAGGCCAGGGCAGGTTTAATCCCCAACCAGCTGAATTCAACTTGGTTGGGAATAGAAACTCAGGGCTCTGCCTTATACAGTCAGACCATTGGGCCACCTGACTCAGTATTTCTTTTTTTAACAAATAATTTTTATTAAAGATTTTCTTGGTTTACAAAAGTACATGCCTTGTCTCTTTTTTCAGATTGCACAGTCTTTCTTATAAATCAGTTACATTTGTTGTGAGACATTAGTGTTGAGTACAGTATAAGGTTGGGGAAGAAGAGTGGGGAGAGGAGGGGTGGGGTGGTGAGGCTCGTATTCTTTTGTATAATGGGGGGGGGGTTGTGTCAGCATCAACTGGGTAGGTTCTCTTTCTGTTCGTTTATTACATTGTCTTGGTATAGTGAGAGGTATTAGGGTCCCAGGGTGTGGTTGGTTGTCTGTGGTTGGCTGCAGTGGGGTTTGTTTGCATTTATGAGGGGCGGGGGGGGGGGCTTGTTGGGTCAGGTAAATCAAAAGATTGATTCCTATGCTGTCGATGGATTCTTGTCATTGTCTTGTTGGGCTGTATATGTGCTAAAGGGGAGCCATACTGGGTTGAAGGCGTCCTCTTCTATTTGTCCCCGTGTCAGTTTCACTTTATTGGTTAGTTTTTCTAATAAGGCCGTTTCCCATACAATTTGATACCACTGGTCCATGCTTACTCCTGACAGATCTCTCCAGTGTCTGGCTATGAGGCTTCTGGCTGCTGAGAGCAGGTGGGTTATAAGCTCTGCATAATGTGAATGGTCATTATGATCTTGGAAGATGTTCAGTAGGGCTAATTCCAGGGTGAGTTCTAATACCTGTTAGTTTTTTGTAGGACTGCTGTCCAGAAGGGTTGGATTTTGGGACATTCCCACCACATGTGGAGGTATGTGCCTGTGGATGTGTAGCCTCTCCAACATCTTGGTGAAGTTCCTGGGCGTATCAGCGCCAGTTTCTGTGGTGTTAGGTACCATCGCTGAGATGGACTTAAAGGGAGGTTTAGACCACATTGTAGTCCATTGGGTGGGGTTAATTTCGTAACTTATGCCGTGCTCCCATTTGTTATTTGATTGCATCAAGGGGGGTTGTTGGGTTTTGGAGCAGTATTTTGTATATTGTGGATACCATCCTTTTGCTGTGTCCCTCTGCTCTGAGGAGAAGGTTTTGAAGGTGGTCAAGGGCCTAGTGGCTGCAGATTTTACTGCTGGATTGTTTAAGAAGGCATGTAGTTTATGGTGTGTTAGCCAAAGTATTTGGGTGTTGGTATGGGTCTGTTGTTTTTGTAGAAGTCACTGTCTAAAAGACTTTGGCTTGCCAGGTTTTTATCTGGAGAGTTTGGATGTTGTTGTTGTTTAGTCGTTTAGTCGTGTCCGACTCTTCGTGACCCCATGGACCAGAACACGCCAGGCACTCCTGTCTTCCACCGCCTCCCGCAGTTTGGTCAGGCTCATGTTTGTAGCTTCGAGAACACTATCCAACCATCTCATCCTCTGTCGTCCCCTTCTCCTTGTGCCCTCCATCTTTCCCAACATCAGGGTCTTTTCCAGGGAGTCTTCTCTTCTCATGAGGTGGCCAAAGTATTGGAGCCTCAACTTCACGATCTGTCCTTCCAGTGAGCACTCAGGTCTGATTTCCTTAAGAATGGATGCGTTTGATCTTCTTGCAGTCCATGGGACTCTCAAGAGTCTCCTCCAGCACCATAATTCAAAAGCATAAATTCTTCGGCGATCAGCCTTCTTTATGGTCCAGCTCTCACTTCCATACATCACTACTGGGAAAACCATGGCTTTAACTATACGGACCTTTGTTGGTAAGGTGATGTCTCTACTTTTTAAGATGTTGTCTAGATTTGCCATCGCCTTTCTCCCAAGGAGCAGGCGTCTTTTAATTTCGTGACTGCTGTCACCATCTGCAGTGATCATGGAGCCCAAGAAAATAAAATCTCTCACTGCCTCCATTTCTTCCCCTTCTATTTGCCAGGAGGTGATGGGACCAGTGGCCATGATCTTCGTTTTTTTGATGTTGAGCTTCAGACCATATTTTGCGCTCTCCTCTTTCACCCTCATTAAAAGGTTCTTTAATTCCTCCTCACTTTCTGCCATCAAGGTTGTGTCATCTGCATATCTGAGGTTGTTGATATTTCTTCCGGCGATCTTAATTCCGGCTTGGGATTCATCCAGCCCAGCCTTTCGCATGATGAATTCTGCATATAAGTTAAATAAGCAGGGGGACAATATACAGCCTTGTCGTACTCCTTTCCCAATTTTGAACCAATCAGTTGTTCCATATCCAGTTCTAACTGTAGCTTCTTGTCCCACATAGAGATTTCTCAGCAGACAGATGAGGTGATCAGGCACTCCCATTTCTTTAAGAACTTGCCATAGTTTGCTGTGGTCAACACAGTCAAAGGCTTTTGCATAGTCAATGAAGCAGAAGTAGATGTCTTTCTGGAACTCTCTAGCTTTCTCCATAATCCAGCGCATGTTTGCAATTTGGTCTCTGGTTCCTCTGCCTCTTCTAAATCCAGCTTGCACTTCTGGGAGTTCTCGGTCCACATACTGCTTAAGCCTGCCTTGTAGAATTTTAAGCATAACCTTGCTAGCGTGTGAAATAAGTGCAATTGTGCGGTAGTTGGAGCATTCTTTGGCACTTCCCTTCTTTGGGATTGGGATGTAGACTGATCTTCTCCAATCTTCTGGCCACTGCTGAGTTTTCCAAATTTGCTGGCATATTGAGTGTAGCAC